CACATGCTGAGGCATGATTCACGTTTCAGTGGGAAATGTGGGCAAGGCAACAAAAGCAACAACAGCAATTAGAAGTTGAAAACGAACTTTTGGAGTTTTAGTCTCTTGAGGGAATTCAGGGCAGATTTTTAGGAGAGAGAAAGCTCTCCTGCATTTATATGCTGCTTTATTATTTATTATTGCAAACTCTTCTTGTTAGCGTCATGTAGCATGTAGAAATCAGATTTGGGGTTTATTGCACTATGTGTTGTGCAAACAAAATAAGGAGATATGCCTTCCTCAGTGAGATTAAAACAGTCTCAGGGATGGATAAATAAATAAATGAGCATAGCAGGTATTATGAAAAATGGGTGGAAGAGAAGATGAGGAATGTAAGCTTATGCAAAGTTTGTAAGGTTTACATTCTGTTATTACTTTAAACAGAATGCAGATACGTTAGCTGTAGGCATCGATTTCTATTAGTACAAATGAGTGGAACTTGCAGAGCCCTGTGTTTTACTTCCCTTTTGCTAATACTGACAGTTTGACTTGGCAGCATGATATAATATGTAAAAGTTTGCTTACTGTATGAATAACCTTAAAAAAATAATAGAATTTGAGGTGATCAGGAGGGCACTACCTGAATGTAATCTGCACAAGGTCAAGCAATGTAATGTAAAAGGTAGTGACTATAACAGGATCTGGTAGCTGTTCATACAGATTGAAGTATTTATTATTCATATTTTATATAAAACCTGAATTATTCTAGGTCATGTAGTCAGACTAGAAAAGACTTCTTAATGTTGAAGGAGGAAAGTGTGGGATTCAACTCAGTCAACTTTGCCAGCTCTGAGGTTACATATCTCATGTAAACATGTTGCTTTAGGCTTTGTCTGTAGTCAGTGAAGAAATATGGGCAGATTCAAGGCACTGCTCATCCCACCTGTCTCCCACCAGATGCTTTAAGTTTCTTTTTTTTTTTTACTGACATGAGAGGGAGCCTTGGTCACCAGTCAACAGTAGACACTTAGTCTTTTACATTTAATTTAGCTGCATGATTCTTGACTGTAACAACTGACTTGAGCAAAGGTCAGAGACTTTAGTCATCTGTACAGCAGCCTAACAAAATGTCATTTTCATTTTGAGCTAGACATCTGAGCAGGTATTTTCAAAATCAGTAGTTCTTGTTAAATGTCTGGCTCGTGTCCATTTTCCGTCTCCTTCTCCAGGAAACAATACTTTACAGCCTCTTAGATATCTGTAAAATTAATTGATAAAATGCAAAATAAAATAGTGCAGTAGGATTGTTTATTCAGCTTTGAGTGGAACCAAAATATTTCTGGAGAAAAAAAAGCGCCCAAGTAAAGTTATTTATAGCACAAATACACAGCAGTTCCTTGAGACTAATATTTCATGGTGGGTAGGGAACTCTTACAGCTGTGTAATCTTCAATAAGTCATTTTCTTAGTCTTGTGTCCTACCTTTCTGGCATACCAATGAACATCATGAGAGCTTATGAGGCTTTCAGGTTAGAGTTAACAATAAAACCAGTAATTTTCTCTCATATGTGTTTAGTATACTGATGTTATTAGTCCCACGTCTGCTAGCCTCTGGACATTTTCCTTCCCAAGACCATCATCAAAACTAACTCTGGATATGACTGTGTTATGAGAAATATAATACCAGTAGGAAAACAAAACAGCAAAAAACCCTACATTAAAATCTGACAGCCACACAGTATCAGTACTAGATCATGTAAAGAATAAAGACACCAACCCCCATTTTAGCCTTACTCATAGTGCCAGCTCTTTTCCTCCATATCCAAGAATTTTCTACTACTAGGCTACAGCAATTAAAGTTTAATTACAGCATGAAATTCTCACTGTTAGGGAGTCTGGATGTCTGGTTCTTCCTTCCTGGCTAACCTTTTATCGAGGTTAGGGAAACCATCACAGTTTCCAATGACTGCAGAAGTGTATATGTATGGTCAAAACAATTCCTGCACAGGCTGCTTGAAAAGTACCCCAGCAGTTCTGATGACATGATTTGTTACGCTTCAAATTGCCCTTTTCCACTCCCATGCTTTTTTTCTGCTACTACACTCACACACTCCCAGATAAGCAGCCCATCCGTGTTTATTCTTTTCCCACCACCTCTAATGTTGCTGATTTTACATCCTCATTCAGTATTTATAATAAGGTTGTCCTAGTAATTTCTGCCTTGGTCTGTAGTGCTGGTTCCTGTTTGTCCTGTTCCTTTGGATTGCTCTCTTCTTAGTGTAGCCTCAAGTCAAGGTGAGCCATGTGCATTACTCTTTTCTTTTGCAATTTGTTTTGCCTGGTAATTTCTCACATTGTTATCTTTCTGTAGTTCATATTTGATGATTTGCACACATAACCAGGAGGCAACTTGGTGAAACTGCTTGTGGAAGCACTTTCTTCTTCTGCTTCGTCTGAATGACCAGAGACAGCCCCCATGGTCAGCAACAGCCTGCATGGCCACAGACCTTGAGGGAAACATTCCACTTTACCTTTTGCTTTCTGCCCATCCTTCCCTCTTAATACTGCCGCAAAACACATGCACGTGGTCCAGCTTTTCTGCATCTTCTGGCATGTTGCTCTGTATTTCTGGTACTTTCCTTGGCTCCTTATGTGGTAGAATGCTCAAATAACCCTTCTCTCCTGAACCAGACAATGGCCTGCTTTCTGGTGACTTCCTCCATTCTCTGGCCTCTGAGCCATGTGGAAAAGCTGCCCAGAAAGGGTCACTTATTACGTGCCAGCTGTCCTCCTGGAGATTGTTCATCTTCCATTTATCCAGATTACCTCTGTGACAGTGAAAACTGGGGGATTGGGAACAACTGCATTAAAAGGATCTGAGAGCTATGCCAGATTTTTTATGGGGAATTTGCACTTCCACCAGCCAGAATGCAAACAGAAGAGTTCAGAGGTTGTGTACTCCACCCACCCAGCTGTAGTGGGTTGACTCTGGTTGAATGCCAGACACCCACCAAAGCGTCTCCATCACTCCCCTCTGCAGCTGGTCAGGGGGGAGAAAATATAACAAAGGGTTGAGATAAGGACCGAGAGATCACCCACCAAGTAACATCACAGGCAAAACACTCTAATTAGAGATATGAGTTGAATTTATTACTAACAAAATCAGAGCAGGATAGTAAGAAGTAAAGTAAGACCCTAAAAACACCTTTCCCCCACCTTCCCTCCTTCACAAGCTCTACCTCCTCTACCTCAGTGGCACAGGGAGACAGAGAAAGGGTGTTATGGCCAGTTCATTAGATGTTGTTTCTGCTGCTGCTCCCCTACTCCAACCTGGGGTTCCTCCCCCAGGAGACTGTTCTCTGTGAACTTCTCCATCCTATGGACAACATTTCTCCACAAACTGCTGTAGCACAAGTCACTCTTTCATAGGATGCAGTTCTTCAAGGACAGGCTACTCCAACACAGGTCCCCCGTAACATCACAAGTCCTGTGAGGACACTGCTCCATCGTGGGTTCCTTCCTCCATAGCTTTGCAGATCCCTGCCAGGAGCCTGCTCCAGCATGGGCCCCCCACTGATCCACAGCTTCCTCTCAAGCATCCACCTGCCCTGATGTGGGCTCTTCCAAGGGCTGCAGGTGGATCTCCACATCTCCCTGGACGTCCATGGGCTGCAGGGGCGCAGCTATGGGGTATCTTCATCCTTGGGCTTCCACATGCACTAGCAGGGTGTTGGAGGCTATTTATTCCTGAGGCAAAAGAAGGGAAACCCAATCGTAAAGCAGAATTCTACACCAAGTAAAATGACTGTATGTCGTTTCATCACCCATCTACAATCAGCTTACATTTCCCTGCCATCTGACCATCGTGTCACATTGCAATCTGAGACAGCACCTGCAAACCAATCTAGTAAAAATCTAATGAGGAGGATTATAATTAAGTTTCTCTAGCTATAAAAACAAAGATCTCTTTCCTTATACAGGTGGCTTTTGATACATCATAAACCACGTCACCAAACTCTGTAATGAGAACTGTGCAGTAGTTTCTCTGGTGAAAAAAAGAATTTTCACCCTGAGCATCCTGATTTGTTTCTTACTAACACTTCAGTAGGACAGTAGGTAATACTTAAGATAAAGGGATGAACCTTTGAGTTCAGGTTTGAAGTAAATCCAGTTTTTAAATTGCTGTAGGGTTTTCTTTATTTTTGGCACAGTGCACCTCTTCTGGAAATGGCAATCCACAGCAAGCCAGTCATACTGCCACAATAACAGTGCTCTGCAAACAAGATTTCTGTTTGGGTACAAAATGAAGGGTGAGCAGAGATTGTCCTTTAAACTGTCCTTGTAGGTAAAAGCAGGCCAAATCAAATTCAGCTTAGACCAGGACTTTATCAAAGAGAGATATTTAACAAATCATTTGGCAAATATATTTAGAAGACATAAAATATGACTTTCAGATCACTTCATTATGCGTTATTTGTTTAAATGTACCCTGACTCAATTACAATTCTGTTTCTGTAAAATATTTTGCTTTCCATACAAATTGCTGAAAAGAATTTTCAAAATATCAGTATGTGATAAGCACTTAGTATTCGTAGGATCTTCTGAAAAGCCCATCTGCTATGCAAATTAATATCTAAGAGTAATTTCTGAATGGGGATTCATAAAGGCATGGTTCAGAAAAACAATTAGCATATGTTTACCTTTCAGTGATTTCCGTAAAATACAGACTTGTATTTGAATACTTCATACAATGAGGAATGATTTCCCAAGCTGAGGTTGTACTCATTACAACAAGTAATATCAATGTATTGTTTGCTTACTAACGGATTTGAATTTTATTTGCTCATTTCTCCACCAGGTTCAATATTTGGTGATGGAAAACACATTAATTCGTTTAATTATTCATGAAGCACGTTACACATGGTTGTGTTATTCCCCACCCTGTGGAAGGAGATGACTCTTATTCTCAGTTGCTTTAGGGAGCACGTTTTCCCAGTTGAGTCTTTCTGTCCTGTCCCCTAGTACACCTGGTGGACATCTGGAATGTGATAGAAGCCTTGCGGGAGAATGCCCTGAACAACCTGGACCCCAGCATCGAACTGAACGTGGCTCGCCTGGAAGCTGTGATTTCAACCATCTTCTACCAGCTCAACAAGCGGATGCCGACGACCCATCAGATCAACGTGGAGCAGTCCATCAGCTTGCTGCTCAACTTCCTGCTAGCGGCCTTTGATCCGTAAGTCTGCCTTTCTTCCCTCCTCTCCCAGCTGCTGGAAGGATTTTACTTCCTCCAGAAATATCTCTGGAAAACAATTGAACAGGCTCAATTCTGTCCCAAATAACGAGCATGTGAATGGTGCTAACCAGGGAGATAACCTAAATTAGGGGCCTCCGCTTTCCTTTCTTTCGAGCCAAATTCAGCACAACTGTGTTTTCATCCAGCTACTCAGACTTGTTCCAGTTTATATCAAAGAAGAATTATCTACAGAAACAAATCCACATGCGCTTCTAATTCGGCTTGTTGTTTATTGACGCACCAGTGGCTGACACCACTGCAATGCCTCTGCAGCAGTGCCATGGGTTAATAGCTCATTATTTTGAAAGAGCTCATTTCCCTGCAAGTTCTTGCAGCTGTAAGCAATTTTTTTTTCTGGCTCATGCCAGTGCAGTATGATTTTGAGACCATGATAGAAATAGGATTAAAGACCTGGAGGTGATGAAATTCATGTTGTTTATTACTGCATGGGATTTGTATTACAAAAAGAACAAGTTTTAGATAGAGAAAACCACTTACATTAATGAGTATTCTGTGTATTCCTGTTACAGTTTCTGAATATGTAGTTGGCAACCTGTACTGCAATATTTGCAGTCCTTAGAACTGAGTTATTGGAGAACAGTGGCTAAGTCTGAAAGACGCAGATGTTGTCACTTTATGGGTTATTTTTTGAAAATTCACCAGCAGAAAACACTGGTCATTAAACATTAAAACAAGGATGCTTCCCCTCTCTCTTCCCAGTCCTCTCTCTTGCTGCCCTGGTATTGGGTGTCATTGAGCACCTCTCGGTGCCAGACCAGCCAGTGGCTCAGTCACCATGGCAACGGGGAGAAAAAGTAGATGTTCCACATGAGAAGGCTGCATTCAACCTCTCCTCCTGTCCCTCTGAGAGGACGAAAAGCCAATCCATTGTAAAATCATAGCCTTCAGGAATATTTTCCTCCCCTCAAGGGCAATAAAAGAAGGAACAGGCATTTTAATTGTGGTTGTGACATCATACAATTGTGGTTGTGACAAGCACACTGAAGGATGCTGGAAATGACCAGATGCATTTATTGCTGCGTGCCACAAGTAAACTGCTTCCTGGCTGATAAACACAGGGAAAAACACCCTGGACTGTGGAACCAAGACCTGTGATAATATATTTATTTTGTAGCTCACTGTAAAGGGGTAAAGATCTCAACTACACAACACAACTACTTGCAGCAAAGTGGAGTAGAGGAATTTTTTCCCCTGGAGGGAATCAGAGAATGTTTTTAAGGGGGTAAGGTCTTGCTTTACCTGACAACATCCCATGTGCTGTGGTTCATGATCTGTTTTGGGGTTCCCATCAGTCTCTCCCCAGAGGTAAGGAAGCTGTGACCCTTACTTCATTTGTCAAGCAGCAGCTCAGTCTGTTGTGCTGTCTCTGAGTGTAGTGCATGGGATGCACTTCCCAGAAGGGCAGAGACACCCAAGGAATCCCTAAGAATAGGCTCCCAGCTCTGAGGTCAGAGATAGGGACTAGCTGCCTATCACCCCATATTAAACACACCAAACATATGAGATGAGGCTCAGGTGCAATCTGAGATACTTAAGTTCAGGTTTGTGGAGATATGTGTCAGCTAGGTCTCTCTGTACTGTAAGGGAAGTCTAGACACCTGTCACAAATAAAGACGTACCAGTTAAGCATCTGATTCTCAAAATGTGTCCTACACTTTAGTTTGTCTCATATCATCAGAGTTTTGTGTTGGATATTGGTTTAACAACCACTGGTGGTTCAGGTTTCCTGGTTTATGGAAAACAGAGGGAGGTGGATCTACATGCTACAGGGACAGCATGGGAGCTGCTGAGGTCTAACCAGAGCTACTGTCTCTGCTTCCCATGTTGCTTTCTCTCCCCACCAGTGCAGCAGAAAGGTCATTCTCTGCTGAAAGTTAGAAGCTGGTGGAAGGAAGAGCAAGGTCTTTTGTGGTCTCATGTTCCGAGAGAAACAATGTTTTGCATGCCATCCAGAGGGACTCAGCAGGCCAGAGAAGAAGGCTCATGAGGTTTAGCAAGGCCAAGTGCAAGGTGCTGCAGGTCCACAGAAGGTGGTCCAGTTTTTCATGTCCCATTTGGAATCCAAAGAATCCAAAGAATCCAAAGAAAGTAGAGAAATAGAATCTGCGATCTAACATATAGGAAAGGACCACAAGGGACAAGTTATTTCATGTTTTATATCAAGCCTGCCACTGTCTCATTTATTTAGTTCTAGTTAATATATATGTTCCTTTTTGTGTACTGTACTGGCTGAAGTTCCTCCAAACTTAAAATAGAGCTTCTGCCTTCTTTTATAACCTGCTGAAAATCTGGCAGGTTTCTCTGCCCTCTGGCAAGGAGTGTTTCCTTAGGCCTGCAATATAGATGTCTTCTGAGGAGCTAAAACTTGGCTAGCAAAACACAAAAGGAACCACAGTGTACTGCCATGGCATGTGGGCCAACTTGGCCACTGCCAGTGCTGAGCTTACATCCCAGTTTTTTTATGGCTTTTTTATAGCCTTGGGGATTCATTAGGCCGATGGATAATTAAAGGAGAAAAAGTGGGGGAAAATTATAGTGTATAGAATTACACGTGAGACTGAATGTGATGTTCCTTCATGCTGCTAAAAGTAAACTAAAGTACAACCTTATAAAACTTCAAGCCAACAAATTCAAAATTCATGAACTGAAATACTTCTCCAATTAATTTGTCATTAGTGTGTGAAAGTCAGCATCATATGTTAGATGACCCTGACAGACCAAAACCAGTGAGCAGAATGAGGTGGTCAAACTTTAAATCTAGATAGACACATGCCTGATCTACGTTCATAACCACACGTTATAATTGGGCAATAGCTTTTGCTTCAAGGCCTAAGGTAATTAACTGGCTTTATGAAATAATAGCACATTTCCTTCGCTGGCACACCAACTACTGTGTAAAAAGTTGACAAGTACAAACCTCTCTGGAAAATTCCTCCCAGGCTGGTGTCAAAGCCTAGGCAGCAAGGTGGAATGTCAGCCTCATTCAGCCAAGTTGTTCTCCAAAAAACTCCTTTTAAATAGAGTGTGAAATACTCTGTGCTAGATCATCTTTAGCTATTCCTGCTGCAAAGTTGAACTGATAAGAAAATAACTGAATTTTCTCTGTTCCTTGACATATGCTGCCCTATGAATGGAGCTGTGGGCCCTGGGCTATGAAGCAGACCCTACCTGGCTGGTGGGGTCTTTACTTGTACAGAGAAAAGAGGAAATATTCATGTCCTTGTTTAATCAAATGAACATTTGAATTTTGATTTCAGTACATAAAGATGATCAATATCCATTTTGGAAATACAATTTCTTGCTCTTTCATCTGTTCAGAGCAATAAAGTGTTTAATTCCCCCTCTTCTGCACCTTTGCGACTCACTGAAAGCCACAGAGGCATTTACAAAGGAAGTCCAGCAAAAAAAATGCATTTCAGAGATTTGGACATTATGCATTTTGCTCTCCTACCTGAAAGAATCTTGCTAAATGTCAATAAGATTTCATCTCTAAAACCTCATTGTGAAAATGAGAATTTGTAATTACAGCCTCTGACATTTCAGAATTGACTGCCTGGATTACAGTGGGTCGTAACCAATAACTGAAGAACTTCTGTTACTTTTGCAAAAGATACCTTAAAGTATTGGGGGAGCATCTCTTAAGCCTCATTAGTGAGAAAAATGGTGTTTTCTCAATGTCCTTTTCATGGGACACATTTGCTGTTTCTAAATATGTGATGCTGTTTCTGTTTCAGTATGGGTGTTGCTAGAGATCCTGACAAGTGATAGTGTCATCTATTTTGTACTACTCTCCCTGATGACCCAAGAGGCAAAATCAGACCCTGGAGCTGGACTCAGCCTTGTATGGTCTGTGGTTTTTGTCAGGCCGTCTGTGGGGTTTCCTTGCTCTGGAGACAGGCTGTCTCTCTCTGCAGCTATGCAGTGGGAGAGGAAACCTTCTGCTCTGCTCCGGTGTCTAAAAGCATGTATAATTTTTTTTCCCTTTTTTCCCCAAGCAGCAGGAGATAACCTTCAACCCTGGCCATCATTCCCTTTTCTAAGTACTCCATCCTGTGTTGTTGCTAAGTGCACATCAGCTTCAAGATTCGCTTTTGACATCATTTATGCTTCTTGCTGAAGAGTAACTTCAGTAGGAGAGGTGCAATATAAAATCAAAATATTTGCTGTCCTCTCCTATTTCCACTAGCAAAACTTATTTCTCTTTACATTATCCAGCCCAAAGCCACTTTCAGGGAGTGGCAACTTCTACCGATATCTTCCTGCTGCTGTAAGCCACTGCTTCGGCATTTGCTTTTGCACAGCAAACACTGTGAGGCCCCAGTGCTGTCAGTCAAGGGCATCTGTAGTGCTTAAGCATAGCTTAGAGCACTTCTGGATCCACATTATACTGGCAAGTCTTAGGCCCCATTACCCTGTCTGTTCATCAGTCATATGTATTTAAATGTATGCATGTGTGTACATGCACACACACACACACACACACATTTGGAGGGCAAATTCGGTTTCTACCGGCTCTTGTGATGCTTTTAGGAATACAAATGACTGATAGAAAATACAGTGTCAAAATTAATCAACTCAGATGGAGAGATTGAAGAGATAAATGGTATCTTTTTTTTTTCTGTTCCTCTCTCCCATAGCCATTTGAGTATGGGAAAAGCCAATGGCTCTAGGGTAGAAAGCTGAAGCCAAGTTGATAGTGTCTTGCCATGCAAAAATATAATCCTATTAGTAAATGTAACTAAACCTCCTGGGAAAAGTAGCCTAAATCTGAAGCACTTCCAATTGGGCTTTTTTTTTTTAATCTCTAAATCTTCCACTGCTTCTTGATAATGCTGTTTCTTCTACCTAGCTTTTTTTTTTTGCTTTTTTTTTTTTTGCTTTTTTTTTAATATAACAACTCTTTTAAAGGCAGATAGAAACCTCATGATGAAACAGTGCAGAAAAATTCCAAAGGGTCTAAAGGGCAGCATTCACAAAAAGAATACAAAAGGGCCGCATTCTCAGCCATAACAGTGCTAAGTCTGGTTTACACAAATCAGAATCCAGTAAGCAAAGAATGGAAATACAGAAGTCTGGAAATTCCTATGCTGTAATTTTAATCTTATGAAGCCAGTCAAAGGGAACTCATGTAATAAAAAAGTGCACAAAAGTCAACATTAAAGAACACAGTAAATACTGCTTTCTTAAATACTGAAATAGTGAATTTATTACTTTTTGCCTATGTTTCTAGTTTGTTTTCTGGCAAAAAAAAGAATTTTAAATGAGTGGAAAGAATAATTAGAATTGATATTTAGAATCACTAACATAGAACTAAATCTAAGTCAGTGAATTTTAAAGATTATTAGATAGTCAAGCTCAGGGAGCTGACTTATTTTCTGAAGTCTGAGTGACTTAATGAATGAAGCAATGGAGCATGCAGCATGCATCAGTGTACAGATGTGAGTATACCATTCATGTCTGTCCTACATTTATATGTTACTGCATTAGTCTGGTTTGGGATTAGCAGAGAAGGAGGTACAGTCACAGGCTCCATGTCTTTCCAGAATCAGTTAATCTTTTAGTTCTAATCAGATGCAATTTTCTTCCTTAAAATTATGAGTGACAATGAATAGAGTAATTTCAGAAATATCGATGAAGAGCTAAATTTCTATGTACTACTATTGGCAGTGCAGTTAGACCATTTTATGCAGGACATGATTGTATACATTAAACAGGAAATCTCTTATAAACATTGTGTTCCCTGGTAGAGTAGACTGAAGATCATGGAAACTCCATTTCCAAAAACTTACACAAAACTTCGTTATCTAGCCTGTCATTAATCCTTTCAGAATTTAGAAGGAAACATGGCTGCCATTTTGCTAATCTCACAAATACTGTCTTTTATTTATCAAATATTACCTCTTTTTTAAAGCATGATGTCATGTCCTCACTGATGTCATTAATTAATATCTTTAATTCATGTGGGAAGCTGTGGAGTAATTCCAAGGAGTTTGGATGATGGACAGAAGTTGCAACTCTGGATTCTTACTGTCTTACAGTAATATTCAGAGAATTCCAAGAAAAAACACATTTCACCATTTGGATGTCAAGAAAATTAACATTAAGAAGCAGGTGAACTTAGGAGAGCATGTTCATTCTCATCTTTGGAAAGGGGCTGAGCACTAAGCTGGGGCTGACAGGTGTTGTAAGGGCTAAGTGTGCCATGCAGTGTGTGAAGTCAGGTTTTTCTCATGCAGCTCAGATAATCAAGGGTTTCTGTGGTGGCAGGTATTTGGGACCATAATGGATGTAGAAGAAGAATGAGGATAGCAGGAGGAATAATAAAGTAAAGCCACTGCATGCTTCAAGACATCTGGGGGAAGAGTTGGCAATGTGCCTCTTTGCCCCAAGACAAGCTCCTGGGTGATTTGGGGTTTACTAGCATTTATGCATTGTAAATTGAAATTTGAGAGCGAGGTACAGCCTCATCTTGAGGAAACCAGGGACAAAACTCTTCTCAGTATATCAACATACGTCCTTTGATTGTTCTGGATGCAGACATATTCCCCATTTTTCAGCAAAGTCCTTCTTCAAGGTTCCTTCTGGTCAGGTGTATCATTTAAAGGCAATTGTCAGGACCTACTGACAGGTACAGATGGAGTTTGTGCAATAATGTGATCCCTGTGTGCTTTTTCACTTTTGTTCCCAGTGCTGATTTTTTTCACTTACTTGCAATCTTCTAGATCCAAAAAATTCCAAAAGGGAAACTGTGAGTGTGATAGGTGTCTCCCAGTGCTACTGTATCACAAATAGCAGTAATAATTATCACTGTAGTGTGTAATGGGATAAACAGTTTAATACCGAGCTTCATATACATAATAAATCTGTTCTGAGATCTTACAGAGCAGTGTACTGATGTGTGTTCCCACAAAACAAACTTTCTTTTTAAAGATCTTATTTCTCTGTATGTCAGTCCACATATATTGTGCATTTCAGTAAGTGATGTCAGAAATATGCCTTGTAATTGAGCAGATTCTCGTAAAGGGGACATACAAAATATGTCTACTTTCTACTTTTAAACAGGGAAGGACATGGTAAAATTTCCGTTTTTGCTGTCAAAATGGCGTTGGCAACTCTTTGTGGAGGAAAAATCATGGACAAATTAAGATGTAAGTGTTGTCTTTTGCCTGTTAAAAATTAATATTGTTGGAGAAATGACAGTACAGGTAGAAAAGACGGACTTCGGATATGTTACCGTTTCTTGGCTGGGTTTGGGAGCTGCCCTATGTATATCTCAAAGTAAATCCCACTAAATCTTTGATTAAACTTCACACTGAAGTCTTTAAAGACAATATATATACATATTACATATATATACTGAGGTTCTAACTGGTGGATTTATTTTTTCCATTTGGGAAAATTGAATTTGGAATACAAATTCATTTGTATTGAATTTGGAATACAAATAAGTGCCTTAACATCATGAAGCATAATTCAACAATTTCTTCCAATTATTTTTTAATAACATCTATGTCTTTTCCCACATTGAAGAAAAATTTATTTCTGTACTATTTGTATTTTCTTCCACAGGGCATTCTTATGCCATGTATTTTGGTGAACAGGTTCTAATTTCATAGGATTTATTCCCAGCTCCCCAATAACAAAGGCATAGTTTACTTGTAGCTGCAATGGAAGACTTTCTGTTTAGTGATATAATGTCTGTACCTCAGGTCTAGAACAACATTTTCCAGACTTTTTGACCAAAAAACCTTCAGTTTCCAGTGAACTTTCTACCTCAGCCCAAGAAAACTGAGTTTACAAATTACTGTTGATTAGAGTAGACAAGTATCCAGCTGAAATCCCAGGTGCTGATTTAGTCTTCCAGACTTGGTGCCATTTTTTAATACATTATTTCTGTGTAGAAACTCAAACACAGAATGAACTAAAGTTATAAATTATATATTGAGCACTATTTGTTCCCTAAGCTGCTTCAAGAATAGGAACTGGGTCCATCCAGTGGAAGGCTGAAGTACAATAATGATTTTTTGGGTCAGCAGTCCCAGAGCCCTGTTGTCAGAATTTCCCTTCCAGGTTCCTGGAAATGAAGCAGCTGACATGATGGCCTGAAAAACAATAAATATTCCTTAGTCAGAGATCTCCTGCTAAGCAGAGGATAATTTTAAACAAGCAGAGAAGTAAGGGCTGACAAACTGACATCACTGAGTAATAAAAGTGTGATATTTTTATACATAAAAAAGGGAGACAAGTGAAAAGTAATACATTGGCAAGACCTTCATTGCTTTGTGTGTCCAAGACAATAATAACTGACTTAATGAACCCATTGTCAAGATTTTGATTTGACATGGTAAGCTAGCGGTAGGCAAAAAGCTGATGTAGCGTATCTTGTCAAATCAGAGCCTTCTTATCTGATTAAAATTACTGCCTCATGCCATGCATCAGATTTTGCTTAAAAATGACCACACACAAGGAAAAACAAATCAGGAATATTTTGGTATTAAAATCAGTTATTTCTTAATATGCAAATAATTCTTCTTGTTTTCTATTGAAAGAAGTCAGAATTAAAGATGCAGTAATAATGGTGGTTTCCATAAGCCAAACATGTTTAGTACTTCTCTTTCAAATCAGATGATACTGACCTCAGAGGAAATCTGTAGCTCATACTGAAGCTGCTGTTCTTTTCTTGTCCTTTCTCCCCTCAGATATTTTCTCCATGATTTCTGACTCCAGCGGGGTGATGGTTTATGGCAGATATGACATGTTTCTGCGCGAGGTACTCAAGCTGCCCACTGCTGTCTTTGAGGGGCCTTCATTTGGTTACACTGAGCAGTCGGCAAAATCCTGTTTCTCACAACAGGTAAATGAAGAGACACAGGATCTCAATCACCCCTCTGAGCAGGCCAAGACTCTTCTTGTCTTACACATAGGTGCATATTTGGCCAGGAAACACAGGGCTGGATGAGGGGAAGGTGCACTCTGCTGATTTCTCATGTGTAGACTTGGTGCCTTCAACAGGAAGTTGGTCTCTATGGACTCCTTATATAACCACAAAGAGAGAGGAGTAGTCAAAAAGTGATTCAGAACAGGATCTAAGCACCTGTTACATGTGTACTTTAGGTATTATATATATTCATATCCCAAGACATGCAGTTCTCCACTCCATTTGTGGAATGGTGTTGGTATAGGCATACACAGGACTAACTTCTCCATATCAAGCTGAAGTTCCACCCAAAAAAAAAATCAAACTTCATGTTTTCCCAGTGATAGACCTACAAGTTTAGGAGTGAGAAGAAAATCTCCTTAAAACTTTCTTTGTAAATGGGAATCCATATGTATTAGAAAACCCCCAGTGAGATGGGGTCAGGAAAGCAACGAATTTTTCCTGAAGAAAATACAAGATTTTTCTGCAACTCCATAGGTACACTCTGTACACAACAGACTCCATAGGTACATTGAGTACAGCACATTGGCTTCAGCTAATACAAAGCACTTCAGAAGATTCCATAATTGTGGCTGGTCGTCCACTTCTTCAGTGGAGAAAGAGAATTCCTCTGGCTCTTTCCACACATCACACTGTATAATTCCATAAATATGTAGTAAGGGAATATGCTGAAACTGGGACAATGTTAGAAATAAAGTTGTATTTTCCTTCTCTTTATCCTTTCATTTGCTAACTGAATACTGTTGAACAAGTAAGTTCAATGGAGCAGGAATAGAGTCATTTTCATGCAAAATAGAGTCTCATTTTTTGTATTCTCTCAGTTCCATCACTAATCAATAGGCACTCCAGTCAACCGAAAGAAGATATTGAAATTCATTTATTGAGTCATCTCCCAATTCATTTTAAATGGTAATGTTGGCATATGTGAAACTAGTCTTGTTTCACAGAGGGAGACTTAAAACAGCATTTCGTGTTCCGTTGAAGAATTTGTGTGGTGAAGTGACTCCTGGTAGTTTTGTGTTAAAATAATGAAAGAGTGCTCTTGCATGGCAACAGGGCATTCAAGCTTTGCATGTTGGACATGCTGTTATTATAGATGAAAAAAGGAATTTCTTTTCCTGAAAAAATGTAATTCAGGCCTTGTTTTTTTATCTTGGTAGCCATCAGAAATGGCACTTGCTTTGAGATTGCATCCAGCTGAGTGGACCAGATCCATTAAGATATCTTTAGAAACATCTTCAAGCAGGCATTAGATGGTTTTGCTTACAGGCTCCACTTAGAGTTAACAAGAGTTAAGTCTCTGACTGATGTAGGTACACAGCAGATTTACAAAGCTGCTGTTTTGCGTCTAGAAGCAGTCAAGTACTCTTGTAAATCTAGTCTGATATTTCGCTTAAATTGACTTTATGTAGTTCACATTACATCCTCACTAGTGATGAACCAGAGTTTTGAAATAAAATTCAGATCTTTATGATACCATGATAAATGGTATTTATAGTCTTAGTCCCACACAAGTCATTCTTTCTCTGTCTTGTATTGTGTGTAGCATTATTAGAAACTGATGCCTTGGAATAAGTTTGTCACTCTCACTTGTTCTCACAATGGGTCACTTTTGCTTACCTGAAGCCTTTCAAACCCCTGATACATAGAGATTCTTCAATTTCAGGGAAATAAAAAATTCTGGGAATTATCTGGTTATGGTGTCAAATCCATTCAGTTTACATCTGAAAGGATTTTTCCTTTTGCAGAAATGTTTCATTATTTCCAGTTCTACTGGTTTACTTGATCCAACCATGTACTTTCCTCTGCCTGTGAACCACTGCTAGATTGAATGGCTATTCAAAGTAGAAACAACAGTGTTTCCTCATCAGCAAATTTGTGGGACAGAAATGCTGGAGCAAGTGAATTAATGTTTCTGAATACAAATCTGTGGCTCAAAAAGGAGTTTTATCATCACCACTTTCCCCCATAGGTAGGATTGATGTGATGTTATACTGTGTTTGTATTAAACAGTATTGTTATTATTGTAAAAAAAACACTTTTTAAAAAAAGAAACTTATCTCAAACTAAAAAAATAGGCACTAACTTCATTTTCTTAGCACTTGTCGAAGTGTTATTCCACAAACCTAGACTCCATCTGTGTGTAGTGTATATTTAGAAAACAGCTTTCAGTTTAAACTTTCCCAGCAGCTGAAAGAAAATTGCAGGGGGAAAATGTACGGAAATTGCTCTGATGGTGTCCTTTTAAGGGACACTGCTTTTTTCTCTAATCCATAAAATCAGTGATCACCAGAGCAGTTTGGCCATAAAGCTGTCCTTGAGGCTAAGTTGCCTTATTTGGTGCCAATCAGATTTTAAAGTTATTGCTGCTTTCAAAAGCCCACTGCATTGTGGAAGAGCTGTTCTTGTCTCCTCTATTTGCTTGTTCCTGTCTCCTCTGTTTGCTTGTTAGACTGACTGGTTGTATGTATCCTTTCAAGAGCACAGGGCAGATCTAAGGCTACTCAGCTTCGCAGTATGCGGCACTGGAGGTCCCTTCTTTTCCTGGGCTTCCTTCCACCTTTTTTTTCCCCTGTGCTCTCAAGTTCTGCTGCAGACAACACAGACATTTTCTGGCAGCATTGGTCAGCAAAGCCATGCCAAGCATCCACAGCAGAAAAAGAAATCCACATCTGCAAAAGAAAGATCCTTTTCTCTGAGCTGATGCTTATAGCATAGGATGCCTATTTGGGAGTTATCTGCTCTCATGGCTGGGAAGGTGATTCGTACAACAAGCAGGTGGTAGTGTCTGACTGGACTTTTCACACTGCAGTTATTGTGGGGAAAGGTAGTATCCCAATGAGATTTAGAGCTCATATTCTGGCTATTTCTGTTCATTAAAGAATCAAGCCCATTTTCACGGTAGCCTGAGGTATTTTCTCCTAGGGACAAACATCTTTATATCTTTCCAAATGTCTTGCAGTATTTCATCTCTGAGACTGTTGCAGTGTGAGATGCTTTCCATTGAAAACATCAGTCAGTGTATAAGAGAAATAATGTTTTTGTTTACATCTGGTGGTAATTGTGTATAAATGGAGCACAGATACTCCATCTGGAAATCTCAGCTCTTAAAAGAATTCCACAACACGCAGAGATGATACATGTCACTGCATAACTGCTTCTTAGCTTCCTCATGGGATAACCACAGTTCTTTAGCAAGTTAAAGCAGCAGCTTATGTAATCAGATATGAAAATGTAGCCATCCCTTTGGATATGGGGATACTACTTAAATATGTATGTCCATAAAATATATCTACATATATTCTCAGCAGGGCTTGATATTTTTGCATCTTAAATTTTATTTGAGGAAGGCTCAGTTGCTGATTGAAAAAACAAATGAACTAAGATTTGTGATTACTTTTTCCAGACACCTAAGAAATGTAAGGCCCTAGATTGCATTTTTAAAATCAACAGGGATATCTTAGAGTTTAAATCTCTTTGAAATTTAAAGGGGCATACATCTCTGAGTGCTTAAAGTCATGAAGAGTTTAGGAGCAGTTGAGTCCCTGGGCATATGCAATCTTGACACAATCAGAGCTCACCCATAACTAGTTGCCATTGCTCCTCAGACAAAGTTTCTTAAATTACGGTAACAGATTGCCTGTGCTGGTCTCTCCTTATCCCATATTTCTTTTGAATTTGTACTCCCTTGCCATATTTTTTCTCATTTTCTTTTTTGGAGTACTGTCAGCAGTACTTTCATTTGAAAACTGGTCATACACAGTGAATGCCCTACATGCACTTGCACTTGTCACATGATACTCAAAACAGATGAGAGCATGCAGAGTTGAATACCACCCTTAACCACAAAGCATCTTCAGGCAGTGACTGTAGAAGAGAGTCTGGAAGTGAGTGGGAGCTAAGTGTCTCCAGCTCAGCCTTGTGAGAATGACTTCTAGTCATCAGTTGTATCATTGTACCGACTAAAAATAGTCTGGAAAAGCTTTGCTAGTATCACTTGTTCTTTTTAGTAAATCAGGGCTACAGGCAAAGTGTTTGAAACTTATTCCCAAGTGTTTCTGTAGAGACAAGATAAAATAATTTTGAGATGTCTAATTACTGATTTTTTTGTGCATGTTTGTTTGTTTTTTGAGCAGAAAAAAGTCACATTAAACACTTTCTTGGATACTCTCATGTCTGATCCCCCGCCACAGTGTCTAGTGTGGTTACCACTTCTGCATCGACTGGCAAATGTTGAAAATGGTAAGTAAAGAGATGCTGCCAAAACACAGTTACAAGAATAAACTTTGGTGTGATGATTTTCACACTCTGTATATGGTTTTGTAAAAGCTACTGTACTGGGTTCATTGACTTCATGTGCTATTTTTACAGTGACTGTTAAAATATTTGGAGATATCTGTTGGTCATTCAGCCAGGAGCATGGCTTAAATTTTGCTGTTCTCAGGAAGTTAACCTGATCATGTCTCCTCCAATGTTCTGGATAAACAAAAAGTAATAGGACTTCATCCATTCACATGCTTATATTTGGTAAACTATCAAGACCACAACTTTTATTAGCTATGACATATGGCAGCAAAGAGGGAACAGCTTTGCAGTTTCCGTTCATGCAGTATTCCTGGCAGGATGTGTCCAGTGCAATGCAAAACACCAGCCAAAAGGTCCTTAGAAAGGATCTCCTCCTAAGTCTACACTGCCAGACCATATCCTCTGAAAAGGAAGTTCCCTGTGGATGGTGTGCATCCATTTCTGGTGATAAAAAGAGAAGGAGGAAAAATTGTTTGTGTTTGTGTGCCAGACAAATCCCTCTTCCATTGAAAGGCACCGAGGTGGGTACAGTGATGTTCCCAAGTCCTTTCTGGCTACAGAGCAACCTATCTATCCCACTTTCCTCAAGCTGTTAACATCCATCCCTGTCCCTCACCAGCTTCACAGTGTTTCCTATCTTAGAGCAGAAACCCTTCCTGCTGCAAAATTCTGGCAAGGAATTAAACCCCTGACACATTCAACACTGATCCAAATTTTCCCAGAGTGAACTGTATGACATAAAGAAAGAGGGTGCCTGGGAACAAGGGGATGTTCGGTACCCTGTGGTAAATTGGGTACATGCTGTAGTGAGGAAAGAAGAACAGAAATAGCTCTATTGCCCAGAAGATGCTTCAAAATATCTCGGTGCTTTAGTGTCCATAGTGACTTGCCTCCGTGTCACTATCTACTTCTAAACAGAGAACAGGTCCCTCCAAAGGCCAGCTTTCCAAATCTGGGCATTCAAAGCTATGTGTTAAACTCTCTATATAGGTACCTAAATGACACCACTTGTACAGATGAGACAACAGTAATTTAGAGACAGTAACATGTCTAAGTACACTTTCATCCTTTCAGTAGTCATACAGCTGAGTTTGACTTTTCTCCAAGTTGCCTCACTTTAGCTGCTTAAAGCACAACAAAACATTCCACTTCTCCCAGAGGTGCAGCTGCAGTAGATTTTCCCACATACAAATTTCCTCTATCATAGAATAGTTTGGGTTGAAAGGAACCTTAAAGATCATGCAGTTCTAACTCCCAAGCAGGGACATCTTCCACTAGTCAAGATTTCTGAAATCCCCATCCAACCTTGAACACTTCCAGAGACAGGTCATCCAAAACTTCAATCAGGCAACCCAATCCAGTGCCTCACCATCCTCACAGTAAAGATTTTCATGCTAATACCTAATCTACTGTCTTTCAGTGAACACATTCCCCCTTGTCCTATCCCTACATGCCCTTGACAAAAGTTCCTCTCCAGCTCTATTGTAGCCCATTTAGGTGCTGGAAGGCTGCTCTAAGGACTCCATGGAGCTTTCTCTTGTCCAGGCTGAAAAATTCTCTCAGCCTGTTTTCATAGGAAAGTCCTCATCTTTGTGGCCTTCCTCTGTACTCTGTCATGTATTCTGTTAGATGCTGAACACTGAACACACACATTTTTTGCTGCTGTGAGCAGGAGGTACAGATACCAGCTCAGAAGTGAAGAAGGGTTTGGTGCCCCATGTAGGAAGTGCTGCCCATGGCTTAGCACAGGTTTCTGTATTTTCACGAGTCAAAGCTGTTGGCAGCATCCAGTGCTGCAGATTGCTTCAAACAAGAGAACACCTTTCACTTTGGGGTTTGTCCATAAACTTTTTATGGGTATTTCTTTGTTTCAGTTTTTGGCTCACCATTTCTTTCTCCCTCACAGTCTTCCACCCCGTCGAGTGTTCCTACTGCCACAGCGAGAGCATGATGGGGTTTCGCTACCGCTGCCAGCAGTGTCACAATTACCAGCTCTGTCAGGACTGCTTCTGGAGGGGCCATGCCAGCGGTTCCCACAGCAACCAGCACCAAATGAAAGAGTACACGTCATGGGTAAGGGAAGGCTTCTGCCTCGCTGCAGACTGCTTTGCCCTCCAGACATCAGAGAAGCCCCCAGCCACAGCTCTGGGCAGCTGTCTGGCTCAGGCAAGCTGGAAACTGGGCTGGCACTTTGGATTAGTGACCCTGTCTAGGCGGCCCTAGCCTGGGGAGACATCAGGAGAGCGTGGAGGTGGGAATGGTCTTTTCTGGGTGAGGATCTGGGGCGCCTGTGACGGTGTGTGCCGCAGTGAGGGCAGCGCAGGAGGGGCTGGCAGCAGAGCACCAGGCTCATGGCAGCTTCTCCCATTCCCACAGGACTCACGGTAAAATCGTCATTGGCTTGCTCTATTTGGCTACGTGTAAATGAAATGATGAATACTTAATGCTCATTCATCAATATTTTCAGTTGAGTGGCTGCAGCATATGCGTAGCATTTGGGCTGATCCTGGCACTGTAGATTTGAGTGTGACAGGCTTAGATCCACAGTAGGGTTTACTATAGAGAAAAGCTCATTTTATTATTTTTGTTGTTAATCAAAATAATGCAGTGTGTTTTATAAACTGAAAGAGAAGTATCAACAGCTGGAGGAGCCTAACCTTCCCTGAAGGGCAAGACCCAGGGACTCAGCTTTCCGTGGACTGGAGCAAAGCCCCAGTAGAGCCCCTTGCTTACAGAGCATCAAAACCCTTCAGGGTTCAAATCCAGAGATCAGCAGAAAATACCTAATTAATCTCAAACATTTCAAAAGTATATTGTCAAAAAAAAAAAAATTATGCATACAGCAAAAGCTCCCATTTGTACAGTGCTTTTTTTTTTTAACAGTGTTTATTTTTTAACAAAGTTCTGAAATTTAATATTTTTTAAATGTTTGGTCTTCTGTTGATGGAACAGGCAAGGGTTAAATTTGACGTGGTTTGCTCTGTATGCCAGTCATACAGCCCTGCACTGTATCCCAGCAGACTTGGGTCTGTAATTGTTTTTGTGGGTCCTAATTGCTGCTTGTTGCATAGACACAAATGGCCAGAGTTTAGTATCTGAATAGGAAAAGTGCCCACTGTGTAGCTCAGACTCCATTCCTAACAGCAATTTGTGCTATAAAATCCATTTTTTTCTGTAGCCAGGGAGCTGTAATTATAGGTAGGAAGTAACTGGAAAACTTAAGATTTCTGCTCAGCGGAAGACAAAAACGTGACCACATGCTTAGTGCTTTCAAATGTTTCCTTGCCAGAAACAAATGTTTTGCTTCAAGTTTGAAGTTGCCTTTCTGTAGCATTCATTAGCATTTATTCAAACCTGGTTGCATTCTCTATAATGCATCAGTATTGAGCTCCACATGCAGATTGGAAGTGTTCATGGGTGCAATGGAAATCAACTGTTCTCAATTCAGAGTGAAATTGCATTTATAATGAAAGACATTTAGGTTACACATTTAGGTTGGATTTCTCTAATAGAAATATTTCATTATGGACTTGGTGGCAGTCATAAATTGATGCAGGATGTGTATGCATATATGTGTATGTATGTGTATTTCTGTCAAATTCCAGAAAGATTTTTCAATTTCAGCCTGTAGAGCTGTGTTTTGGGGAGAGGAGGCAGTGTAAGGATCACTAACCCTCTTTTACTGGCAGAGAAAGCTGTGTTTTGGGGAGAGGAGGCAGTGTAAGGATCACTAACCCTCTTTTACTGGCAGAGAACTGAATCAGGGAGCCGAATTGAATACCCTGAAAATCCCTCACAAAGCCTAGAAGACATCCTAGATCTCAGAGATCACTTAGACAGGGAGTTTACTCCTCAGCTGCATAGTCTCCAAACAAAACAGGAAGCAGAAGATACTGTTTATTATTTTTATTTTTTTTGACTGATGAAAATTATGCTGCTTCTGCAGACCCTCCCTGTCTTTTGGGGACAGTGACAGTACCTCAGTCTCTTTTGAAGTGCTGTTGGCACAGTGGGGCAATTCCTGGCAAGCCCCTGTTTCAAATTTCCATTCTCCAGTGGTCAGTGGCCACAGGAGGTGGAAGAGAAGTTTTATAACAGCAGCTAAACAGTACAGGGTACTGGAGGTGAGAAGGGAAGTACTATTGAGAGGGAAGAACAAAGCAGCCTGGTCCACATCTAGGAGGGAAATGGTGTCCCATACAGTGAATCTATAGGGACAAGGATACTCAGATCCCAAGCTGGTGAGGTACAAGCCAGCACCAGTCCAGGCGACACAAACTGTGCTGTTCTTTGTTCAACACTGCTTGAGTGCAGCACTGCAAAAAAGCCATGGCAACTGTCCCTATAGATACACCTCCCAGGCCACTCTAAAGGCCGCTGAAGATAATAGTAATCCTTCCCCAAACAGAGCACTCTTTGCCTTACCAGACTCTGGGCATGGGAGGGGGGTCAAGGGGGATGTCAGTCCATAGGTAAGTGAGCTGTTAGAGCTTCTTGTTGTTTTGTGCTTCCTATAGCAGAAACAGTATGCACCTTACTTGTCCAGATTACCTCTACCTTCCTTGTTCCTCCCAGAAATCACCTGCTAAGAAGCTAACTAATGCACTTAGCAAGTCTTTAAGCTGTGCTTCCAGCCGTGAACCTTTGCACCCAATGTTCCCTGACCAGCCTGAAAAACCTCTAAACCTGGCTCATATTGTGTAAGTATCTGTGTGCTGTAGACAAAGTAAGCTTTGTTGTAGGAGTTGCTTGCACCAAGTGTAGATACTACAGCTCTGAATAAAGCAGGAGGCAGATGTGGCTTGTCCAGCTCAATGCATCACAAGTGCAAGTTTGCTGGTAGGGATATTTAGTGTAAAAGTGTTCTTCTGGTGTGACTTCACTTGAAAAATCAATGGGATATATGCGTACAGTCAAATACTGGGACACAACATTGGAATGTCCCTGTTTTCCTCAAGAGATGTCCATGCAATTTCATGGAGTTTCAGCACTTTGGGATGTATTGATGCTGAGAACATCAGTTCTGGCATCTAGACACTCTTAACTTCTGTGTATCACAGGTATGTCTTGACACAAGGCACCAGAGAAAAGTGAAATCAGACCAAATTTGTAAAAAAAGTTGTCAGTTGTCACTGACTTTAGTGGAGCTGTGTCTTCACCCAACCCTGAAGAACTGTGTTAGTCTACACAAAAAGTGTGCCTTCAACTGCCAAGTCACTTGAAAAGAGTCTATTATCCTTATGTTTTGATATGTTGAAAAAGGAAGATTATTTTTTGGTATAGTAGCATGTCACTACTTTTTTCCTGCAGGATTCAAGAAGCCCAAAGCAGAAAGAAAATGTATTTGTGCAGGGCGGGGAAAGTAGCATTTTGGATGTTTTTTTTTCTAAAGCATGTCCACTACACATAGTGGCAGACACTCAGATTTTCTCATTTATCAACTTGGCTTACCTTTGCTTCCTGCATCCTTAAAATAAAAAGGGAAAAAAACATTTAATTTCCCATAAAACTGAGGAAAAATTAAGACAGTGGTTGGAAGAATGGTACAAAGAAAGTAAGTTGGAAAAAAATATTCCAAAAATACTGTCTTTAAAGTATTTCTCTTATTCTGATAAATTTCTTAATATCTTTCTTAAGGCTCCAGGGCTCCTGACTGAAGCATTTCAGGCAGCAGCTATTAGTATTGTTATTTACATGCTGCATATCTATGTTACTGGCTACTGGAACTGCTCTAGGCTGTAATTATTTTACTTATTTGCCATTGTCCATCTTGAATATTTGTATGTAGCATCTTTAAGGGCAAGTGTACACCAGCCATTGTGGTCTGGAACAACGCCTGGAAAGTTCACCCAACCTCCCTGACATTTTAAGGATGAATTATGCTGATGGTCTTCCTTATGTGATTATAGCAGAACTTCTTCAAGGTGTAAGAGAGTGCTCTGGTCTTCAGAGACAAGATGCCTCTGACAGATACATCGTGCCAAATCCCTGTCACACTTAATCATCAGTTAAAACCCCTGCACCTCTTTATGGGAGAGTACTGGGTTGTTCTTTGGCAGAATGCTCCAGAGTTGGATCTGCTGAGCCTCCCTCACTGCTGTGCCTGGTCCTGCTGGCAAGTCAGTGATAATTTCACAGGGCAGATTTTGGCCATCCTTAAGGGAAATGGAGAGAGACAGAAAGCTTGAAACAGAAAGAGAAGCCTCTGTTCTCTGTTGGCTGGGGGATCTTGAAGGCCTGGGGATATGTCAGAATATAAAAGGTAGTGAAAATTGGGCTACTGTGAATGGATTAAATGCATTTAGGCAAGGCAAGAGGAAGGTACCATAATTAAGTAGGAACTGATCCAAATTTTTGCTGTGAAATTAACACCTTCCCTTATTCCTAAATATACAGACAATTTAGAGTGATGGGATGTGAGAACAAACCACCATCTATTCTGTTTTATGACGGTTTCTCTTTATTCACAGATTGATGGTAATATAACTTGGCAATATATATTGGCTATAACGATGCATGAGTGAGAAACCTGTAAGTTGTGGAGGTATCATGATGTACAGCATAATTGACACAAATTATCTGAGGGGAGAGGTATGCTACAGAACCTTGTCAAGAATATCTTCTCGCTGATGGGATTTTTATTTTTAAACATAATGGAAGTTGAGAGAAACAGCTCTGGGCAGGAATCCAGGCAAAAAGGGGAGTTATATTTGCATTAGATGGAAGAATTTTGGCAACAAAACAGTATCCTTTTCTTAGCTTCTAGCTTAAATGGGGACAAGTGCTCCCTGCATTACTACAGAGACTTTCCTTTGATTATTCTTCCACCTTTGACTGGCATCAGACAGAAAGACTGCATGATTTTTTTTGTTTCACTGGTGCCACACAAAATCTTGAATTAAGCAAGAAATACACAAAGGGCCTCATCTAGAGAAGCAGTTATTAAGGTGTCATAAACCTGATGGTAGACCTCCTCCCACTGATGGAAGGGTCATTTATCCTCTCCTTACATAAGATTAGCAACATGAAAGAAAGTCCAGACTGCAGAGATAACAAATGGCATGTCCAGTGCATCATGGAGTTATTTTTCAAATCCATTCTGCAGTGGCTGGAATTAATTTTCATCTTAAGCTTGTGGGAGCATTATTTTTGACATCAGTGTATACAGGTTAGAGCAGCCTGGAGCACTATGGAAAATTCCTCCTGTATAATTTGGTTTATTACTGAGGATATATGTTATGCCATAGCATGCTTTCATTATATAGCATATTTCAATAGCATTAAGTGTTTTCTGTCTCCTTGAGGACAGTTAATTCAGTATCAATAGATTGCTTTTATCAGAAAGCTTAATCACTCACTTTCAGGAGTTTAAAAATAACCTCAGAAAGATATAATTTATAGTCAACAGGTGAGTTTTCCTTTGCTTTGCAGTAAAGTCTGTTGTACTTACCACATCACACAACTCTATGTGTTTGAACATCCATCTGAGATTGAAGTGGAACCTGAAGACTGTGATAGTGGGCATCAGCCTTTAAGAAACTTGCCTTGGAAAGCTGCGGATTAGTTTAATATCATTTTTTTATTATAAGAATCGTCAAAGTAATGCTAATCAGGAAACCTTAGCAAAGTCTTGGAGTTTAGAGATATTTGTACATGAGAGTAACTTGGCTTTTGTAAACAGCTTAATGACCTTTTATGCATAGAGGCTCTCATGCTTTTTGCAGAATCACGGTCATAAGAATGGAGTATGTCCAATGTATTACTTAGACCATACAAATATTAAACTGACAATTTAATTAATGATCTCTTTTCCATTTTATTCTGCCTGCAAAAGAGATACTTGGTGAGTATTTTTCTTCTTTAGTACAATTGTTGGAGGAAAAGCTTGGAAAAATTGTGATAATCTCAGTATTACCAAAAAAAAGTAACATCAAACACTTCTCTATAAGTATGTGGAAGACTAAGGACTGCTTCTCAAATTCATGACAGATGAGAACTGGAGGTTTTCATGTGGTTCTGCAGATGCAGTGTTAGGTTAAAACTGTATCTTCATAAAAATAAATTAATAATACTCCACATTCTACCGCTTTCTTTTCACAGTTTTAAACTTCTTAAAATCAGTGTGGCATTATCATGCTGAGAAATTCAATTGGATTTTTCAAATACCATAATTTTTGCCTGTTTTATAACAAGTTACAGGACAAAATATATGGTAATAGTTCACTTCTATGCAGAACTGGCTTTCTTGGAAATGTTTTGGTTGACCAGTTGTCTTGCACAATTGGAGCTCAGTGAATATTTTGCAGATGGCTACCATATTTCAATTTGCACATCTGCAGAATTCAAAAAGCAAGATAGATCTTCCACAGAGCCTAAAGGCAATATTAACCAAATTGTGGTCTGAATTACATGTGGCTTCAGATTCTGCTCATATCTGATTGAATGCCCTGTGATTTTAATAATATACCTTTTAGTTGTTCCTGAGCAGATAGATCTTTTGTCCAATGTTCCATAAGAAGTCTGCTAAAAAGGGGAAATTTCTCCTTAATGGATACAGAAGGAGAAAATTATAGACAGGTTATTTTTAAGAGTAGATAGTAAAAGAAAGTGGAGGAAAATTCCTTCTTGTTTCATTTTTTGTAAAAGCAGGAAGGAAATAAGGAATGTAATAATAAGATCATCATTACAAATGGGTCCTCCTGAGCTAGATACTTACTCTAAATTTTGACTTGGGGGTTTGATATACCAGTTAAAAAGCTTTGCCTTCAAACCAGTTTAAAATTCTGCATGTATTTTACGGGATGCTGAGGGTTTGGGTACACTGTGGTCCCTATGTGGATGTGGTAGCATGGTGCTTAGCACCAGGAATAACTTCATGAGAAGGTGTGCCATTTATTGGCAGTTCCATGCTGCAGACCTCCATGCTGCCACAGAAAACTGCCAGTGCCCATCCTGGCTGGTTGAAATCAGGGACTGCACCCTCAACTGTTGCCTCTGAGATGGAACAATGGCATTGTGGCTATTCTACCAAAGCAGGGGGAAAAAAGTCAAGCAGGTTGCTTAAAACTCACCTCAGAACACATAAAAGCATTATTTACCTTCAGGCCTAAGTACCAATGTATTCTTACCAACTTCTTAAAATTTGAATGTAAAGCAGAAGATGCCAGTTGCAATGTTATTTTAAACATGCTCATTCTGTTCTACATAAATAGTGTTGCTGATGGAGGGGGTTTTGGTGCAAAATCAATGCAGCTGGGTATTTTGCCTTTCAGGCCCCCCCGACCTGTAACCAGCATGAACGACACACTCTTCTCCCATTCTGTTCCCTCAGGAAGTCCCTTTGCAAACAGAAGGTGAGTTCTTACCTCAGTTTATATCAAACCATTATATAATAGTGGTGGAAGTTTGAATTTTCAGTTCCCTTACAGGGGTTAAAAAAAACAAACCCTCTCACACAGTAAAATCAAGAGATGTGAGTAGAATGCCTTGGTCAGTTTGGAGTGATACCCAGACATCTGAGCAGAGAGCTGGATTTAAGGCACCCCAAAGTCCCCACAGCAGAGCACTGAATTTCAGCTCTCATTTAACTATTCTGACCCACTAAAGTGTGCTCACATGCAGCCCCAGGCACCCTCCCATTGGGACCCAAAATGGGCTACAGAATAGATGATGAGAAGCCACTTTGTAGCAGCACTATGGGAATAGGAACTGGGTGGTGCCATTGCTTACTGGGAATGTCTGCACCATACTGCAGGATATGAATGAACAAAGAGACGATGTCTTCATACTTGCAAGATACAGCAAGACATCCTTTCTCCTGTTAAATCATTCTGATTTTCATTAAAATCAACAAGGGAGAAGGAGCAGCCTTGGAATATGGTGACTGACCCTTCAGTAAACAAGCCAGGGAAGACTCATCAGAAACATAAATCCCAAAGAGGAGGTGCTTGCAGCTGACTGTGTACATTTTGACTCAATATTTTGGCTCATCCAGCCAAAATAAGTGTGTAACATTTGCAAGCTGTCTGACCCCATCTATGTAAGCCTACAAATGTACACAGGTAGGAAGGTGGCAGGAAAATAATTTCCTGCTGCCTTAGGGAAGATGAGCAGTGTATCTTCCTTGGGTGCATTTTATTGCTTGATTGCTGTGTGTGTCCATGCTTCAGCATTCCCAAATGACAAAACACAATCTCTGGGTATGCACAGCTACATATTTTAACACCAAAACTAAACCAAACTTGCAGTGTACACTGCAAAGTCAGACTAAAGATGGTTTTCTATTTTCTTGATTTATGAATTTTGTTACCACAAGCTGTAAACTGTAAATTCACAGTGTTTTCTTAGTGCAAGTGGGTGTGACTGAGATGCCTTTTGAAAGCCAGTCCCAAAGCAGCCCCCAAGGCCAGATCTGCTGCCTATACAGAGAGACTGCAAATGCAGATTCATTTCTGTCATTGGAATATATGGGGGTTTATGTGCAAGGCAGGGTAATGTATTTGTAGCCTCTCCAGAAGAGGTCACTAAGAGCAGTGCTCTTTAGGAGCATTACTGATGCTTCTGTTTATTCCCAAGACATCCCTGTGTTCAATCAACAACAGTACACTTTGCTCCTTAGGCCAGGAACCTGCAGTAACGCTCACAGCACTGACTATTGTGCTGCTTGTCTTTTTTTGCCTGTAAAACCTGCCCCATTATTTTACTTTAGTCTTCTTTAGTAAATGAGTGTCTTTAACTATCAGGTTTAAACCTATATGCTTCCTGAGCTGTTAGAATTCTGTTTTTTTCCTAGGAGACACTCCTTGATGAGAATCCCCTGAAGGCAGGTGATAGTACCACCCCCCTCAAATATAAGTACCCAGACTTGCTTTTAAGTGGATAGTGTGACATCCCCGTACAGTTAAAAGTTTCCATGATGCAGCAGTCATTCTGGCTCTTTTAGAATTAACTGTACCCTGATACGTAAGGTAATTACGTTGATTGTATATTAGAAGTTTTGTTTTTGTTTTTGTAACTTTTGTTTCATTGGCATAGCAGGATTTTAGGAGTCTTGACAGCTTGTTCTCAGTATTTTTATTTCTACCTTTTACAAATTTAATTTGCATCTTTCTGTTGGAAAGAAAAAGCTACCCTACAAACAGCCAAGTCAGTATTCTTTCTAAATAAATTGGATTGATTGTTACAAACCCTCTCTGAACACTCTGCTCTCTGTGTATTCTTTCTGAAGTATTAACGAGGTTTCATTGTTTGAATCATTCAGGTTACTTGGGGGTATAAATGCAGCCAGTCCTGTGGCTGATGAGCATTCTCTTATAAAGCTGTATGTAAATCAGCTTCACAACAATTCACGGTCAGTATGAGAGCACTAACCTACTAATCGCAGTAGTTCTGTAGCTCATGCACTAAATCATTAGCAATTCTGCTAAACTACTCAAAATATTCTTTAGGAAGGTTCTGATGGGCTAGAGGGTTTCTGTGGCTCTAATTAGTCTTTTGAATAAACTTCCTGCTGGCTGTGGGCTTTGCCAACTTCTCTTGCTTCTGCGCAGCACAGGTCTTTCATTTTACCCTTTCATGTAGGATTAATACTAATGTGTCCAGTGGAAGTTGGAAACATTGCTTTTGAAAACTGAGAAAACTACACCTTTATGGTTTCATACATCGTCAGTGTATGATTTGCCTGTTGTGTTCTTGACCAAGGAATGAAAGAGGCTTGCACAAAAGCCTGGAAATGATTCCAGGTCTCACAGCCAGCCTCCTCTGCCTCAGCTCTCGCTGTGGGTGGCTGCTGTTCTGCCTTAAGTGCTGCCTGCCAATAACCCTCCCCAGACCCCTCAGCTTTGCTTTTCAAAAGCACCACAGGAAAGGCGGATTTAAGTCCTACCAAAACTAATGAAAACTTCTCATTCACATAGTGAGTGCTGGATTTGGACCCATGCCTCTCATTGCTGCACCTTTTTCCAGCATTCCCTCACATCTCAGTGACCTAAAGGAAGAGCCTATTTCATTCTGCATAAAAAAACATGCAATTGCATAAGAACAGTTTCCCCATCTTTTTTTATGTGGAGTGGAATATCCTTTACTTTTTTTTTTTTTAACTAATCCACAAGCATTAACTATAATTCAGTAAGAATTATCGATATGAAGGTACTTCTCTGCTAAATGCCAGGATCTTCAACCTGGGTTAGACTAATAACTGTATCTTCACTCATTCTTTTAAGTTTTACTGTTACTATAGCCCTGGGAAAATCAGGCCTCATTAGTAGAAGCTCACCCTCTTGAACATCAGAGAAACAGACTTTGATGGCTCTGTTTGAAATTGTGCTGATTTTATATTAAATACTCCATGATTCATATTATAATAAGAGGAGTACAAACTGTAGAGTAAAATTTCTAGCTGGATGTAATCAACACTAAAAGCTCTGCTGGCTGTGTTTTTACTGCAGATAACTTATGGTTACTTTAATTTGTGTTGCAGTCTAGTCCAGAGGTTTCAGATAGCTTTAAGTAAAGTTTTTACGTAATTTGAATGTTTATTCAAAGGAGAATTGGCAGAGAATGTCATTCATAGCATTCCCACGGTATTTATTTCAGCTACTTGTGTTCACGTAGGAACATAGCCATTCTAACCAGTTTCTCCCTGAAGCAGTAAATGCTAAATTCAGCACACCAGCTCATTGTGCTGCTGGAAATGGATAGCATCTCCTAAGTTCAGCACACTATCATCTTTATTTCTGGATACATGGATGAAAACTGGAAATTAACTGGGAAGATGGAAAATCTTGTTAGAGGAAAGACCTTTGACAATTGGTAAATGCAGTGACAAATTGCAGGGAACAGCTGTAAGGAGATGGAACATTATATACTATTTACACTTTAAATGCATCTGAAGCACAGATTTTGGGTGGGTACACAATTACTCCAAAGCTCAAAGGAAGTTGGGTTCAGGCTTTCCTAAAGATGCTTTTTAATTTCTTCAAACTGCTTTAGAATTAAAGTCCACTTAAAATTTCTGTGCTTGTTTGCTTAGTTTGAGCCAGCAAGTGCATAAGAGAGCTTTAATGAGAAGGTTGGCTTAGCAATTTACAAGCACCTTTCTTCTAAATATATACAGTGTGGAAATTGGTATCAACAATAAGCTCTGTGCAGCTCAAGAACAGCTTTAAAGCACTTGTGTTAGAAAAGAAGAAACAAAGAAGTCTGTGATCTTCTCCCAAATACCAAATCATGGTCATTTGCTGTGTTGACAGCTAACATGATTAAAACCACAAGGCCTGTAATTCTTTTGCTGTAGCTAATATTCAGGGGGTTTCTCTCATTTGTTTTTACAATTTCCGATAGCCTAGGGGGCAGCAGAACAAGGGAATATTACTGCAGAGTAGGTAATGTCCTTGCAAACCCAATAATTTGGATATGTTACATCTAAACAAGTAAATTTAGCATTATAGAAACTTTTGTCCAGTCAAGAGAAATAACTCTATATACTGAATTAATGTTTTTTTCCTTTTTTGAATAATTTTGTTCCCCAGCTGCAGTCTGTCACACTGACTTAAAGTATATAGCTGCCATAGTAATGGGTACAATCTCCTGCTCTTTCTTTATGGATGTTTTCTTTAAGCTATTGAATTACTGAACTTCGGCAGGATAAGATGAAACAGAATGTTTTTTCTTGCATTTTTCTCAGTCCCCCTTCACAGCTAATGCATTTAGTTCTTCTAGAAGAGTAATAAACTGCAATAAATGGTGTGATGCAACACATTCTGGTGAACTTGAAATGACTTGGCAATTGGGTGATAGATAGAATGCGCTATGATATCAGATACCCATAGCCAAGGAGAAATTGAGTCTTACTTAATGCTGAGTCAGAATGGCTGGTGCCTTTTATGAACTCCATGTAAGAGTTAAAGGAATTGGATATTCTACCTAGGCATAAGAAGAGATTAGGCCAGATTTCTAGTCAACAACTAACTTGGAGCAAAACATACTGATTGCTGCTGTTGTCCATGTTCCTGTCTGTAAGGAGTGTGGTAGACTTCAACTGCATGTTGTCTTTGCATGTTGTTCTCAGAACAAGATGAGAAGCCTTGTTTCATCAGCAATATCCTACCTGGCTAAAGGAAAGGTTTTTATGTTTGATTGTTTAGTAGCCAGGTAGACACTAATGAGGGCATAACATTTACACCAATATTGTTAGGTCTGTATCTTTATAGACGTCTGCCCATGGCTGGAATGTTTGTCTCTGAATTTGGATGGAGAAGCATTATTTGGCATCTTACAAGGGTGTTCCATTTTAGCAGGAATATATCTTTAAAATACCCGTTCGGTTGGAAACTCATTGTGCCCATAACAATCTCTGAAGTATTAGTTGTATTTTGGGGAATATGTGGAGGATGTAGGAAGATACGGAAGAAGAAGAAGAAGGAGAAATAACAGCTCTTCCAAATGAAGGACAGTTGAAGGTGGAATCAGGGACAAAGGTGAAAGGGATTATAAAGGAGGCAGCCTAACCTTGGTATCCAGAGATACTGAAATTATAAAAGAGTTAGTAAGCATCTGGAGGATAATAAACAAGAAATAATCACCATAGATTTGTCAAGAACAAATTGTATCAACCAAACTAATTTATTTCATTGACAGGATGACTGATCCAGTGGGTGAAAAAAAGAAGCAGCAGATACAATACACGTTGACCTTAAAAGGACTTAAAACAGTCCCAGATGACACAGAAGTACCCAAAGGAACTACAGACATAGGGAAATTAGTAAAAGAGCAATATTGAAAATGAATAATGACATTTTCAGATGTTTGCTGTGGCTTTAGGAGGACATCTGCTGGGATTCTTCAAAGCTATCCTAACTAAGAAACTATGAGCTATTTTTCATAGTGACTTAATGGAAGCAGTAGAGTGAATATATCCAATTTGTAGATGCTACAAAGGTTGAAATAGTTATGGGAAGGAGTGCTTGGAGAGCAGTTTCTAAATAAAAAGAAGTAGCTCAGTAGCAATGGTAGTAATTGATGTCCAAATGATCTGAAATCAATTACAGGAAATTCAGTAATTATAAGTGAAAAGTGCTGTAGCAAGGAAGCAAATAGTCAAATAAAAGATGGGAGCATAATTGGATGGATAGAAATATTTTAACAGAGGACCTAGCAGTTGCAGTGAACCACAAACTAATTGAAGTCAGCAATACAATTGTTAGATTGCATTTGACCCTTGAACATCATCTGGAAAGCCATTAAAACTCACTCCTCAGAGGAGGAGACATCTGCCTAGAGGTTTGCATGCAGTTTAGAGCAACAGCACAGGGGCAGATATGCTAACCAGCATATCTGGAGTCCAGAGGAGACCCCAAACATTAGAAAAATAGAGAAGACGTAACTCATGAGAAAAGGTTGAAAGATTAACATTTGTTTGATCAACTAAAAAAGAAAGGGACAGAGATAGGCATGGTATCAGTTGCTTGGTGAGTAATCCTTGCTTGCCTGTCTCTCCACACTTTGTGTGGCCTCTGGAGCATAGGAGGGAGAACTAGTGGTTGGTGAAGGGCGCACTGTTAGAAAGCAAGGCACAAATTCTGCTCTGGGGCCTGTGGCCTCCCACTGTGACAACATATTTATCTGTACTTTTAGAATGGAAAGGTGCATTTTTGGCTGAAATGGCACATCCTGTACCCCTTGAATGCATTTTCCTTCTGTAACTGGGAAGAAAAGATGTGGAAAATGCATCCTTCTAGATGGCATGGAGCATGTTTATCTGCATGGATATTGCCCCAGTGGAAGTACAGTACACATAAGTAGCATGCTGATGGGCAGAGGAATGTGAAACAAGCATTTTTTCTTGCTGTGCTGTACAGCATTTCATACAGCTATCTTACAAAATTATTATAAATCAGTAGGCTTGAGTTCTTAGGATAACCTTTGGTCCCATTCTTTTCAGGACCCCACTGCCAACCTTGCCCTCCCAAAAGGAGGGGAATTACAAAAATTTCACCTCACTGAATTACTTCTTTGTCCCAATATTGAAGGTTTTGAGGATTTATCATACACCACATTTGTGCAACATCATCTGCCTACACACACAGGTGGGATGCACAGGTGCGCAGGTGCATCCATGCTCATGTACCCATGAGGTGCCAAACAAAAAAAAAGTGAATATTATTTAAAAAGAAGAAAGTAAAATATAATACTGTTTTGATTTGTTGAATCTTAAACCAAAAAATGCTGCAGCATGAAAAAAAAAGAACATTTCCAATGTTTTCCATTTTTAGCCAGTGGTAGCTTGTTAACATGGATATTTAAGTGTTGGGAAGGATGCGGTTACTGCAATCCATTAAATACTGTAATTAGGGAAAAAAAGTGTGTTTGGTGAACTATATATTATTTTAAATCAACAGAAGAACAGTACTTCTGAAAATTAAACTGCTGTATCCCATCACTGCATCCAAATAAACACCTTTCCATAGATTATTGAAACCAACTTACAGTTAATGTGGAGAAAAGCAATTTAGCTGTTATGGTAAAGCTTTCCAAGCTTGAAAGCAGACCATGTTTATCTCAGTCTCCATCTGGAAAATACACCAGCCTTCATCTCTCCATTTGAGAGAAACACATTTTGTTTGTCATTTCTGTAGTGGAGACTTCAATAGTTTGCTTTTGGAGAACAGGAGGGAAAACTCGTAATTCCTGATTTTGCTTTTCCTGAGGCTTTCTAGAATTCCTTTAAATCTATTATTTTTATTCAGTCCAGAGCACTCAAATGAGCTTCTCCAAACTCTGTTCTATAATGAATTTCAGACATAACTGTTTACCCTCTTCTTAGTTTTCCTGTCTTATTAACTAGCTCTCCTTCCAAGAATACTGAAGTAGAGCAGAGCAAACTGCTGGCTAGGGCTGCTCCAGCTTTCTTGAAAGGCAAAGGGTAAGTTAAAGAGAGAGAGTATGTTCTTAACTTGCACTAACACAGCTAAACCAAAAACTTGTCCTCTATTTCTCCCATTTTTAATGTATTCTATATATATATCTTTCCTGAGAAAATTGTCATAAGCAATTAACCCAGTGAGCTAAATAAGGCATGTTTAAATATATTTATGTACACCTGGATGCATAAGGTCTTTATCAGACACTTCCAAGCAAATCAAGCTTGTGAATTCAGTGTGTCAGTCATGCATGTTATCTGTATTACTGTTTGTGTGCAATATATAGTATATTGGAACAAATAATGCTGACCTCACAATTTGCTTTATTATGTAATAAATGGTACCGTACAGCTCCAGAGCTTCAGTCCCTGGCCTGATCTGGCATCTCACTGATTTCTGAGAATGGCTCAAGTGGGATGCTGCCATCCTAAATCACTAAATACTAAACATGTAAATTATAATAATAACAAAATAATTTCTGCACTTGGTGTGTTGTTTTGTTTTGATTTTTTTTTCTCTAGGAACACTGAAGTATTCATTCCTAGATTCCCATTTCACAATCTTACTTGCTCCTGCTCTCTCTGTTTATCTCTGTGTCTGTCTGGACCACACCCTGTCCCCCGCCCCTGTTTCAGGTTACAGTACAGCCTCGATGTTGCAGACAGGCTGGCCGATGAACATGTGCTCATCGGGGTGTATGTCAACATGCTGCAGAGCAACCCCACACGGTTAGTGCAGGTTTGGCACCTCTGGGGGACCCAGCAAAGGGACCTTGCTCAGCCAAATGCTCCCACTGCTTCCTCCCAGCCACGAGCTGGAGCAGCTCTTCATGAGCACTAACCTGAGGTGAATGTTTATGGGTATGTCCTCCCAAAGTTGGTGGATTGTGGCACTGGCTGCTATTCTCTCTACCAAGGCTCGCAAGGTATTGCCAAGTATTGCAAATAATTGCTTAGTTAAGAATGGCTATGCAAATTGTTTGGGATACTGAGCTCTAAGCAGTGCAGGACTTGGTGGTGGCACAGAAATCTTCACACAGCAGTGATTAAACATGTTTTCTGTCGTTCTGATTGGGAACGGCGATAAAGAACGACACGGACTCTCAAGGGAGTCACATCAGGAGAATCTCTCTAGTTTACTGCTCTAGGCTTGTCTTGTAGACAGATACGTGGAAAAGTACAGAAAAGAAACTCTTACTGGTTAGCAAAGTGCTACATCACCATCATTGGTCAGTGGGGCATACTACCCCCCTGACTCTCTCCTGCAAGGAAAACAAGAGGACAGACAAACAGCACCTGGTAGTTGTTTTCTGTCTCTGAGGATTGTTTTGAAATCCTCCTTTGAATTCCCAGGCTAGCTTCTCAGGCAGGACTGAGAGGCCATGGGCCTGCAGTTTCTGCAGCTCCCTGCAGCCTGTTCCAAAGCTAGCATCCATAGTTTTCAAGGTGTTAATTTTTGAGATCATATATAATTTGTAGCATCACCTTCTTTGAAAGTTAGAAACTGTAATAGTACAGAAATAATTAAATCATGATAATAATTTTCTTACTAACCTAGGGAGAGAAAATTTGGATTTTTACGTGTGTCAGGCATTGCTTTTAAATCTGCCTGGTTGCTGTATTGTTTGAATCTTGTACACAAATTTCCCCTTCTCTCATTTAGACTCAGGGGTTTTAAATAGGTCTCTTGAACATAATTCATTGTTTCTGCTGGAGTGATTATAGAGCTTCGTCTCCTAAACCCATCAGCTGTCCTGGCACTTGAGATGCTGGCATTGCAGCCCGCCATGCCAGGGAAGGAAACTGCTGCCTCACTTCTCCAGGTGCAACAGAATTCCATAGACTTCGCAGCCCTGTTCCAGCAAAGTGGTGAGCAGTATATGGCTCTAGAAAATGTGATGCTGAGCAGAAAACTGTACTGAGTTTCTACCAAAACTACGCTCAGGAGGTTTATTTTGCTCATAGCAAACCCTTCCGTTTCCTGTGCTGCTAGTGCAGAATATTTCCTAGGTTAGAAGAAAGTCTCCATTTACTCCAGTATGTAGGAGGCAGCAGCAACTTCATTTAGGAAAGTGAATGGGATGGTTATCTGCAATCTTAAAAAATTCAATTCTACATGTAGCTCCTGTTGAAAATGGATGTAATTTCTCATGCCCAGTGGATAAAAAACTCTGCTTCTTGTCTTGGATCTGCTTCTCTACTCTCTAGCCCACTGGCATGTGCCACTAGTGGAGGGTTGAAAAGGCAAGCTAGGTTTTAATGAGGAAAATGAAAGCCATTTATCCTGAACAAAAACATTTTCAAGGGAAATTTCATTCTGAAGAATCACTTCCAGAAATCAGACTTATTGAGGAATATTGACTCTGTGGCTATGAAATCAGGCTCTTGGGGGCATGTGTGTGACCAGTCATTGCCCACCCATGACTGAGGATAGGGATATGCTGCCATTCGGTCTGCTGTGACAGGGAGAAGGAGATGTGGCCCTGGCTGCCATGAGTGACTTACTTGATACGGTTGTTCAGGAAGGGAGTGAAGAATGGACATGGTTTAGGGTAGTTCTTGGTGCTAGGCTGGTTTTCCGAGTGTGGAATTTTGGATGCCATGTCTAGGATTCATTTAGCTTCAATGAGGGCTACCAGTTCCTCCCAAGACCTCTTTGTGGGTGCCTCGCCTCATCTTTACTGTTTTCATCCTCCAAATTTTATTCTTTATATTCCAGCCTGTTCCCTCAAGGCTTTGAGCCAACCTCACCAAGTCATAACACCTTTGTTCCTAAATATGAATATATAAATCATATGCCATGATAGCCAACATTTATTTGGTTTTGAGAAATGAATGGGAGAGTGACTGGTAACGACCTTAATTGTTTAAACAAGTGATGCAAAGCATAGTACATAACATCTGATTACTGACATTAAATCACTGCAGTCACAGCATCCTGAATGAGAAACAATCTCAGTTATTTGTATAATTAGATTTTGACAGAAACATAACCTAGAGGGACAGCAGTCTTAGTCAAGCATCAGACCATGCGGCATTGCCATTTTCTGCTTTGTTGGACTGTGACTGCTAGCAGAGAAATAGAATGGTTACATTTTGGTAAAAACAAGAACAGTCTTGCCATCCTAAAGCTCCTGTGTGAAGCCAGTTTCTAGAGGAGTAGGTGAGACCTCTGCAGGAAGCTCAGCTGCTGCATCTCAAAGTCTGGGGTGGCATCTTCAGGCAAAACTGAACTTCTCCTGCCCATGCCCTGATGCAGTTTGCTCAGAACTCACTTGTGTCAGGATGGTGCTGAGTTCAAGTTATTTCACCCTACATCTTAAGGAGATTTGATAACCAAAATGGGATAGCTTCTGATTTAGGGGAGGCTGCAACTGGCCAGCTTTGCTGTTCGATCTGCCTGCAAAATACTACCTGTACCTACCCAGACATCAGATAATTCAAGTGCTTTTGGCAGCCAAAGCTGAGAAGAGGGATGATTGTAGCTGGACCTTTATCTGCAATAAAAACCTGCAGAGATACTTTGTGAGCATAATACATCTGAAGAGATGCATACATTTCAAACATTTCAAAACAAAACAAGATTTGGGTTTTTTTAGATACAGAGTCAAGCTAATTTATAGCTAATCATCAGTCTAATATAACCCGGTATGCCTTTAAGTTCAGACAGTATTTATATTTTGGGTTTTGTGGGGTATTTTTAACTCATTTAATTAATTTTCGCTGTTTAACTTTTTTTCTCATCTGCAGTTATCTGATACCGCAAGTAAAAGTACAAGTTTTCCTTTATAGCTAATAAGCTACTTCAGGGTTTTTTAGAAGCCAGTACTCCAGAGCAAATTAATAATCAAGAGGAAGAATTAATTCATTTTTTATAGTAACTCTATGGGTAGGAAAAATAGCCCTTAGCCAGATGTTTTGAATAGCTTAATTGCAAAGTCTTTTTTAGTATTTAAAACTAATATTTGATACTTACTTTAGTTTGTCTGTAGTGTCTGATTCTTAAAAAGAAGTTTTAACTGCAAATAGTTTCTGTTTTTGTGAGTTAGAGACTTTGCCTAGCTTTGAATATTAATTCCATATACTTCAGTCTTTTTCTTTTCAGGTACAGAAAAAAAATAAGAGGTTATTTTGGTTCCATAGAGAGCTGTTTTCTGAGGTTTTTATGTTATACTGCATAGTACTGTGTGAATCCTATTTCTATATAAAAGTGCTGTGCTATTCTAGGACATTTTAAAAAATATTTATTAAGGAGGTGTGAACAACTCTAGGTGGAAAGGCTGCTTTTATTTTCTTTTGAAAGAGGAAAAATATTCAGAGACCAGTTGCTGCAGAGGAAATAGGCATTTAGCTCCCTTGAACAGAGTTAGTTTTTGTGATTATTCCCACACAGCTGAGTGTTACAATATTTTGGTGGTAAAATCCTGGTGATTCTAAAGTAAATGGCGAGTCAACAGTAGCAGAGGACTCAGATGATTTGTCTGGGTTTAAAGTGTCTTAAAACCAAGCCAATTTTGAAAGTGTGGGAGTTAAACAGTCCTCAGAATACTTTGGGTGTGTTGCTGTTAGGCCTTTCTTTTTGCTTTTGTGGTTTTTTGCAGCGCCTAGAAACCGACCCTTTAATTTGTCCATATTTTCTATAGCAAATTATTTATTAAACAAGGGTTTGTAGAATAAGAGCATGTAATGAAGACTGCACTGATACATCTGTTGCAAAAATTTTACAAGAGACTTTTCTAACCAGTGGTGACGCAGTCGTAAAACCATCGGGGAACATCCATATCAGCTACTGCTAGGTGCCTAGCTGCAGAACAGGCTGGACACATCTGAAGTCTGAGAAACAGCAAAGATCCTCCAGAGTCACTCCTTTGCTCATAGGTTGTCATGTTTTTCATCCTTCACCTGCAGGTTTGAGATCCCTTTTCTTATTAGAGCTACCATAGACCACTGAAGTCCTATTGTACAGGTGCTAACATTGGATATTCACTCTATAGCTGAATGGTGGTAGGTGCCAGACCTATTATTGCTATTATAAGGTCTTTAAATAAATAGTCACTGCAGTGACCAATGGAGAAGCAGTGTTTTTTAGAAAAGAATGAACAACAGTGGGGTATTTGTATGCAAAATGTCCACTTTCTCTCAAAAGGATGCCTGAATCATTCCCCTGGAGTCACAAATCCTGCGCACACATTCGTAATATTTTAAACCTTTTGTGTACAGTTGTCTTACTTCATGGTTTTCTGTGAAGTTGGTGAAGTAAAACAGAAGTGAGTTGTGGTGAATCTGAGAAATCTGAGACATAAAATTCTTGGCAGTCAAAGCTAATGCTGCTGCACATACTTCTGTGCTTAATAGTCACATAGAATAGGTATATTCCAGAAGTAAATTTATCTCAGACATTGAAATTTAATTTTCAAAGCTTTGGGGGTTAGTGATTTGCAGCATTCATAGACCAAATTTGACGCATTGCTACATCTACTTTATGACATCCACCCACACATAAATATATATCAAAGATAATAGATACAAGTAAGACTCAAAAAGCTGCAGTGGCTCGGTCATTCAGTAAAGCAGTTGGCTTAGGTGTTAGCTCACATCTCAGAACTCTGGTGCAGATTGTTACGCCAACAAGTGGAACCATAATCCATTTTTCCAAGATGGATATGGTTGCACATTGCCATAAAAAGGAGAATTGATGCTGAATGCTTGCTGTTTTCACAACCATCTGTTAGGATGCAATGTTACAGTCATTATGGTAAAATTAAAAATTAATTATGCTGTCATAAAAGTAACCCTTATTACCCAGTTTACATAACTTTATGTGTCTGCAAGAGTTACTCACTCCTTTCTTTCTCTGGATGACATATTAGTACAGTAAGCATGAGTATGTAAGAAGCAGAACTGTATAAATTTAGAAAAATGCCTTTAGCTTTGGTCTTTCCCAAAGGTATATCAGTTATCCCACCAGAATCTCAGTAAGCATAAAATTAAGCTGTATATGTAACAAAACAAACATAACCAAAACCAGAAAGCCAATGTTCATCTACCACCAGAAGTCTTAAATGCAGTCTGCAGCACAAGTTTTATTTACACAGAACCTTTCTGTGTCTCACTTCTCAGAGCTTTACTGGTTTTCTAAACTTCATGTTTGTGGTCTCACAGGTTATTATCAGAATGAGAAAAAGATGATGTTTGTCTCTTGCATCAGTAAGCTGCAAATCCAAGACACCCAGCTTTAGTTTCATGATCAGTGAATATCAACCACTAGCTCACCTTTCAAACATAACTTTTAAATCCCAGTGGATTTAATCATGCCAATCAACACATGTGCACTGTAGTTCCCTGAGGGACATGGGGATATGAACTCACTGAGAAGTTTCAGAGAAATACTCCTTTTAAATATTTCAGTTCTTCAAAAGCAGAGCTTTTGGCACAAATGCCATTTTCCTCTGGAAGGCTTTTCAAGTTCAAGGTACAATTTCAGGGGAAAAAAAATCAGAATAAAATCCCATGCCCAGACTCTTTTGAAGCTCACTTGCCAGCAATCAGTTGCATGCCCAGAAGAACCCATGGGCAGGGAGATGTGTTCCTGTTTCCCTTCAGCCAAAAACCATTATACAGCTGCCAAAGGATAAGAAAAGAGGCCAGACTTGCCTCTGTCTGGGATAGTCCACAGGCAGCCTTGTATTCCATGTGGCAATTCCACATTCCTTTCACCTCTTCTTAGGGACATCATTTTTTCTCTCTTATACACATTAAAGTAATGCAGTATAAGATTCTAAAGCCCAGGATTATCCAGGGTCAACTAAGTCCTCTTCAGACTTCTAGTTTTGTTAGTTTATTAATTTTGATGGTTGTCTGCAAACTTCCTGAACGTTTAGAAATAGTGAAGATTCTCACTATATTACCTTTTTCCAGCTCATCTGACTGTAAAATAGCTTCATTTTAAAATAAAGACAGCTGGAAAAGTATTAACCTGAAATATTTTCATTTTATATTCTTGGGGGAGAAAAAATAATAAGGTGCAATATTTTAAGGGAATTCAACATATTTGCTGTTAGTTTTTACTAAACTAAACTGTTTTGGTTTCATACTTGCTGATCACAGTTATGTGACACTGTGAAGTCTTGCTCCCAAATAGCAAAAAAACAAGAATAAAAGAGAAAGCATGATAATAAATTTGTAGATCAGTGGTTCCAAACAGTGATGCATGAGATCTTGGTAAGTGCCCTGCAAAACTGTCCTAAACACTTTTTCCTGGTGCAAATACAACAAAGCTTCTAAAGTTTTTCTCAACAAACACTGGGGCTTCTAATCCACTATCCAAAAAGTAATCAGTCTTTCAGATAATATGACAAAGCTAAGTTGCAAAATAAATGCTGACTGATGGTTCCAACCATCTCCCAACCCTGTTTTGGGCAGAGCAGTCTACAAGTTGCACCCAGTACAACTTTTACTGTGGGTTACTTGGCTACTGTTTTCCCTCTAAGGGAAGGTGCTGCCTAGGCCCTTAGAGCTGATTTTTCTAGGGAAATTGCCCTGTCTCTTCTCCCCTTTGCTCAATTAACATCAGCTGTTCCTGATTTGGTGGTGTTTGCTCCTTTGTTCTGACATGTGGGGGTGTGAGGTGGTGGATGGCTGAGGCAGTGGGTGTTTTTGCTGTGTATAAACCTGTATTCCCATTTGCCCCTCCCCCTGAGCAGCGTCCTTGACAGTGCAAGTCGCCTGGATGAAGAGCACAAGCTGATCGCCAGGTATGCAGCAAGGCTGGCAGCAGAAACTTCTTCATCAGTAAGTGTTTTAATTAAGGGAAGGTACTTTCCTTCTGTCATGTTCCAGGGGCTTGGCAAGATCAGGGAAATTACATCTGAAGGTCTAATGATTAATGGATTCTTTTTCCCTATTCTTTTCATCAGAGGCTGTTATGCTTTAATAATAACACTTTTATGCAGTCCACTTAATCCAAAGAATCCACATGCTAATGCATATAATCTATATACTAATGCAGTGGTATTTAAATAATTGTATCAAAGGGAATTTGACATCTTGAACTCAGGAAAGGCTATAAAATATTGTCTGGACTAGCTTTGGTTAAAGGTTAATGAATTACTGCATTGGAAAAATGGGGTGGTGAATCCATTTTACTCTATAGCTCAAATATCACAGCCAGTAGGGCCCTAAGTACTAAGGCTATTAAAGAATGTTCTTCAGCAGGATGACTGTAATGACCCCCTGCATTTAGCCCTGGCTCCCATTTTCATTTCAGAGCAGTGATTATTCTGCTCTCTATATCCAAAGATAGAAGGTGATGACAGGCTAAAACCTCTCTAACTGCATTTGGGAACAAGAGAGAATGAAGCAGGAACCCAATCAAAGTATATAAAATCTTAAATGGTACATAGAAGGTCAGGCAAGCTACTTGTTTTCTATCTCAAACCATTTGATAGAACACGGGACCATGAATGATGGTTAAGTGAAAAGCAGCTTGTCTGGAGTGCCCAGAAACATTTTCATGCTGAGATTTACACTGTGGGGTCAATTGAAAGGGTGAAATTGGGCACCACATGTCATGTAAAGACACTGAGTCACATTCACGCCAGGTGAAGACAAATCTGCTGCCCCATGCAGATGCTGTCAGGGAGATTTCACACTACCTGCAGCTGCCTGGAAAGAGGGGGTGCAGACCAGCCCACATCAGTCCTTTCCAGACATGTGACACAGTGTTTCAAATTTAAGACAACCTGTAGATGATGGTCTTATTTCTGAAAGACATAAATTCTTTATGGGAACATGATTCCCATTAATAATGTCTCTGGTTAAAAATCAGTCAACATCAGTTCCATATAACATGTGTCCTTGATGTGGGGGAAAACAGTATAAACAGAACTGACTTGAAGGAAAACACTGAATTTCTCATTGCCATCAATCTTTGCTCTTGGAACAAAAGAGACAGAAGGAAAAGAGAAGGTTTCTATAGAGAGCAATCTTTGCAAGCAAAAGAGTGACACCCAGTAGGGGCAGTGGAAATTTTTGCGGATGGTCATTCTGGCATTTAAGGAACTACATGTATTAGTAACAGTGGTCTTTCAGGACAATGATCCTGATTCCTCCTGTATGAGTGATGACATCCACCAGCATGCATCAGTTCATGGGAAAATGTATCCATAGCAGAAAATATAGTACATGGTTACATGGGAAACAGACTGTCCTTCTCCTACAGACAGTCCTAACCTGTGTTAGGTTTGTTAGGCTATGGAGATGTATCCTCATCCTTTCTGAGGGTCCACTTCCTGCCAGAAGAGGGGCCTGGCATGACACAGAATAGTGCTTCAGAGTTACACTTCACAGAGCTTTTTGTGCTGAGGAACCTTCATACCACAGCTGAGCTCAGCAGAGTATTCTTAAATATCTGATTTTTTCATGTTGGAGTTAGAAATAAATGGGTATCTTTCATAGCTGTGAAAACTTCAAAATGTCCTGCTCTGTGTTACCATTGTTACAGTACTGAAATGCAGGAGTGTGAACAAGAAAAACAATGATTAATTATTGCTGATAAACATGCAGTAAGAGCATAGTCCAATGAAGCTGTAGTGAACACTGCATAGTCTGGTGAGAGACAAATTCCCATCTCATTTTATTGGGGGGAAAAATGATTTTGCTGTAAGTGAAGGACTAGGGAAAGAAGTTTTCTGAAGTATCATGAGAGCATGTAGGAAGACATGGCTAAATGGGCCACATAGCCAGACTGAAATGAGTTACCTGCAGTGTCAATGCCTTTTATGATAGGTTCAGAGGAAGCTGCATGAAAAAGCAATGAATGACAGGATGGTAAACGCTGAGTCTTATTTACTCTAGCACTTACTCTGCTTTTACTAGCAATGGTTCCATAGTGGTATAAGCACAACATGAATGCTCTTTTTTTTAGTGGAGGCAAGCTTGGTGTACTGCACTTTGTGTAAGCAGATTTCACAGAACAGATCTGTGTTGCACTCATGGTGCATGCTGGCTATTCCTCTTTCAATGCAGCCTTCTCTGTTTTACAACAGCAGCCGAGTCAGCAGAGAGGGGCGTCAGATATCTCCTTCACCATTGATGCAAACAAGCAGCAAAGGCAGCTGATTGCAGAGCTTGAAAATAAAAACCGGTAAGGATCCACTAAGTTACCTGGTTTTGTCCAGTCCCACATATTACTTACGTGCTTGTTTCTTCGCATTTTTTACCACCTACATCTGTTCAGTGTGCTTATACAGGTACATGCATCTCCCCCTGCAAAAGGACAGAACACAGAAGGGTCCATACAGTAGGATAAAGGCTCTGAAATCCATAGCCACCCCATGTTTTCATAAGTGTACTGTCCAATGACATGATATAATCATGGATACTTTACTGTTTGCAGCTGCTGTTTGTTAAGAGTTTAAAAAAAAAGCCTGTCCTGTTTCTAAACTGGATTAACTTTCAGTTGGATTCTCAGTAGCACTATAATATGAAATGATAAAAGGATCAGTCACGCTTGTAATGTTATGCTCCCCTGCTTTTATTCAGGAAAAAGATGATTAAAGCTCTTCAGAACACAGTCTGCCTGGGAAAGGTTCGCAGGAAGATTAGCAGCAAGTTAGGCTGCTGATCAAATGAGACAGGAGGTACAGATGTGACTGAGATTGAGAGAGAGTGTCCAGGAGAAATAGGCCAGCTGACCCCAAAAATGACTGATGCCTGTTTGTTAACAGCAGAGAACCTGGCCCTGGGTACCAGACTGCCTGATGCCATGAGATGTATGGCAGCAGAGCTCTGCTTTTAGTGCCGGACCATAAAACAGAGGCTAGCCCAGACCAGATGGTTTCCTATTCCAAACTCTGCACTGCCTTCTGTCACCATGTAATGAGCACCACCAGCTCCAGTCTCGATTTGCCTTTCATAGTTCGAGGCTGCCTCCTGACCGTCTGCTTCCAGCACATTGTGAAGAAGAGACAAAATTCACAAAGGTTTCAACCTTCTGCTGTGAAGCTTTGTATTAGCCTTTTGACAGCACTCCAGGGCTCACAAGCCTGTCGTAACAAGTCTTTTTAAAGTGCTTTTCTATGAATTGTCAACTGTCCTCACATCTCTGCTTCCATTAAAAGTGTTTTTAAGGGCTAAATATTTCCTCTGATACTCTACAATGTCCAAAAAGGTTGCTTCAGTTTTTTTCAAGTTCATGAGGTGCTGGAAATGTTCATGGTGAAGAATTAAAAGGGAGCAGTTCAGTCAAGCATAGAACTGTTTTATGTCTACCTCTGGTTTTGGGGGGGTTTTGAAGAAGGATTTCTCTTTATGGCAAAATCCTTAGAGTTTATTTAGAAAATATCCAGAGCCCTCTCCTGTCACTGAGGTCTTCTTTGGTTGGTTGCAAACAAGTCATTTTATGTACATCTTCATTGATTAAAAGCTAAATTCAGTCATACTTTTTCACCTCTTGCAATGTCCAGGGAGCTAATTTTGTGAAGAATTACTGACTTAAAGTCTTCTGCTTATTCTCCTCCCCAAGAGAAATCCTGCAGGAGATCCAGAGGCTGCGACTTGAACATGAGCAAGCATCTCAGCCCACTCCAGAGAAGGCTCAACAAAATCCCACTCTTCTTGCAGAGCTCCGGCTCCTGAGGTAGGTCCATGGCAATAAAACCTCTGGCCTTGACAGGGGCCAGCCAATCATTCTCAATAAGAGAAGAAATAAAAGATAAGCCTGTCTCATGGTTTTGGAGGCTTTTTTAAGTGAGTTAGCCAATGTGTATTTTTTATCCATTTTTGGTGCATCCCGTTGTCCTAGAAGTAATTAAGGTTATGCTTTAAATTGTATGCATGAGAAATCTCACATATTAGTCCTCTACATTAAATTAAGCATGTGCATTAGTATTTGCAGAGTTAGGTCCTTAGGTCATTTGGAATAGGTCCTCACAGCCTGGTCCAAATGCCATTAATTATATGGGGAAAAATGTTCAGAACAAATGCCTTTACAAAGATTTCTAGTTTATGCTAAAGAAAATACAGAACAACATGAAAATACAGCCAGAATTAGATGTTAATCTTTGGAAATTTCCCCCATGTGTTGAACTCTAAGGAGAGGTCATTTCTCTTCATGGTGCAAAACCAGGCTGCAGAATGATCCTGTGAAGTGTAAAGTCTTCTGCAGCTGCTGAAGATTTAGAGGCTCCTACCTCCAGTTATCCCACCAAACTAAAAACATTAATAAGGATGTGATTGCATGTTAGTTACAATACTCTACATGGATTTACAAATTTCCATGTATATCACGTTGAAGAAGTTCGATTGTCATTGGCCCAGATCCATAGGCTCCCTGAAAGTCCTGAAATTCACATTGTGAGAGGCAAAGAATCCAATAAGAACTATTCAAAATGCTCTATATGAATAAAGAGAGTGTAAGCACTTCGATTCCACTGGAACAATGCTCGATTGCTCCGCCCCCTGACTAAAGAACATTTTCTGCACTTATCAGCTCCTCACACAACTAATATTTTAGTGGACTGGTGCATATCCAAAGGAAATTACTGTAAGAAATTGTGATAATTTTTTTCTTTATAAATACTTAATAGTTTTATTACAGAGTTTTCCATGCAAAAATATTTTTCTGATTCACAAATTATTACTTTGTATTTCCAATCTAAATACAAGTTAGCTTCTTCATTTCTATGAGTGATTTTAATCTGTAATTACTTCTAGAGATCTACAGGCAAGTGGCATTGTGTGAGGCATATAACACTGCCTGTCATGAAAATGTGTACACTGTAAAATACACCAATAATGTAGCTCTTGTCCATCAAACTGAAAGTCTATTTTCAGCAGGTTTAGGAAATCACCTTTCTATGTAGTTGATTAATAAAATTCATTATACTTAAAAAAAAAAAAAAAGGGGGAATGATTGTGCAGTGTTAGCAGGCTGACTACTTAACTTTTCCCTCTTTTTAATTTTGATATACATATTAAAGCATAATACCCCTATTTTATTTTCTTGATACTGAATTCCTCAACTATACCTTCCCTGATTTAATATGCTGTGTGAGAAACAGAAAATACCTTTTAATCTCTGGATTAAATCCAGATTAATTAAATTAATCTCTGAACTGCTTTGCATTCCTTCTGAAATGTTCACCATTTTGCAAGGCAAAAGTCTGACTTAGGATTTACTGGGGAATTTTGACACCACCTCAAATTCCTAGATACTTAAGATGGCACAAGGCTGTTCTTATGTGTAAAACAGCAGGACTCAGGGTAGCAGCCATGATTTATGTCTGTTACTCTGCTGATTTTTCAGGCCTGAAGCACTCAGGGCTGTATAGCAATTTAGTTCACACTGTGTTAAGAAATGCTGGAATCTGTAAACCATGTTGTGGGTACCTATCCCAGCATCTTTCACAAGCTGCTGTAGTGTGGCACTCACTGAAACGAAGTCCTGAACACAGCATTCCTTCACATTACCGGTGCTGTCTTAGAGACAGGTTGCAAAACCCCTTTCTTCCAAGAATCTTCTCTGGAGTACAGTGGGAGAAAAGCCTCTGAGGAGTAGTCTGTAAAGTGCACACCAGAAGATCTTGTCTCCCTGTGGAATGAATCTAAAACCCAGCAGAGCTCTGTACTAGGACCTGCCACTTTGAATTATACGGACCTTATTTTTGTTAGCAGTTTCTTAAACTCCACTGCCTTTGTATAGTTCATAGCATTTCCAACCATTACGTGTCTGGAAAAGAAAAGCCAGCACAGGCATTTTGTAGCAGGAAATAGATCAATCCTTCAGAAGAGTAAATGCAACCTGGCAGTGTTTCTATATGATCCTATTATATAGGTGAGAGATAGCACACGTGAGCAGTCCTGTCAAAATCAACATTGACTGTATCTATAGTTGCTCACTTACAGTGAAGGCTCAAAATCAGGGTTTCATATTGCCCTAAATACAGGAAAAGTGCTTAAGTCTTGTTGGTTGCAGTGCTTTTCCATTTAGGATTAAATTGTCATATTTTATAGGTAGTACAAGGCTAACTTACTGTTTGTAAGTTATTTGCAATGCAATAGAGTATAAAATATACCTAATATGTATACCTTTTAATAGTAATGTTAATTAAATCATAACTTCCAAGAGGCAACAATTTCATTTTGTTTTTAGGTGGGGACCTGCCACAATTTAGTGATTTAACATGTGCAATGGAACTGTACAGAATCAAAGCTGTTCAGATTTTTGGGGACTCAGAGAGATTGTCACACTTGGAGTGGTTCAGAATTCACAGTCGTGCAACCAGCACTGGACTCTGAGAGCAAAGAGCTAATTTGCTAATTTCAAGCAGCTTTCTCTCTACTATGTGATAATCTTCCTCTTGCTTTCAGGGAAAAGAAAAAATATAGAGAAACAAAAGCAGATGACTGTGTGTTTTTGTCTGAATTTCTAAACTCTCTTAGCTTCTCTCATATCTCACTGTGTTCAGTGCCCCTGCTGTAATTTCCTGTCCTTCAGGGCATGGCTTTAATTTCTCCTGACAGCTAGTGAGGTTATTGACTAGAGAGTTCCTAAGCTAAAATTACCAGGCATTTCCACAAGGGAATATAACTCAAACTTGTTTGAACCCATTTGTTCTTTAAAGATCTGTGTCAGTGTCTGTCTTTTCCCTAATCACTCTTCAGTCTCACAAGGATTCCCAGTAAGAGGGAACTCCCTAGTCTTCACATAGCCACATTTCTAGGCCCTGTGCTGAATTCCTGCAGTGTGTTTGCTTTCCTGTGGTCTGTAGGCATGTATCCCATAGTAGAGCTGGGAAAACAATGCAGTTAAAAGCTGCTACTGCTGTGAGGGGTAAGCTCTGATCAGACCTGCTTGTTTCTCAGACAGCGGAAGGATGAGCTGGAACAGAGGATGTCTGCTCTCCAGGAAAGCCGAAGGGAGCTTATGGTTCAGTTAGAAGGCCTCATGAAACTGCTGAAGGTAAGGAGCTCCACCTGTTACTACCAAGGAAAACACAAGGTGAAGCGAGAGAGGAGAGGGAGGATATGTAACCACAGAATTCTGCAGAAACTGGCTCTTTCTACACACAAAATTTGGTTGTGTTTCCCTCTCTTTTTATTTTTGCCTTGGTCTTTTAATTCAGGGGTTTCTGATAATGCTCAGATGATGTTGTTCCTGTAGCAGTGCTGCATCATCATTGTCACCTACTGCTAAGAGGAGTAAGAAAAAGAAAAGAAACCAATGTGTAAAACAAGTCAACTATTTGCTCTAAGAAAAAGCCTCAGCACTGTACACTACTATTCTCTGCAGCTGACAGTACAGAATCACTAGGCTAATTCCTTTAACTTCACCCTTGAATTAAAGTTTCTTTAACTTACTCAGTTGCTGGTTCTCTCAGATGAGTCATCTGACAACCGCATCTACCTCTCTCACCTCAAAGATGCTTTCCCTACAGCACTTGTTTCATTTACACAGATACAGAAGCAGGGCCTTGTTAAACAGATGAAACATGCCTCAACAAAGGATCTCAGTTAAGAATGAAGATACCAAAAAGTATATGCATTTTTAAAGACAGACTAGGGTAAAATGGAAGATGTATTTTTATTTGCAGCCCTGTTTTATCTGATGTGCTTCAGAGGACAGATGATGTCACAAATTCACATTGGAAGAAAGCACCCTGAGTAGCATGAGAGTATGTTTTGTTGTTGTCTATGACAGATCAAATGAGTTCATGGAAGTTCAGTGCAACTTGAGTCAAATATGGCTCAAATAAGAGCAGAAGGAATTTCACTGAAATCCATTTAGCAACATGTCTCCATTAAGATGTAACATGCATATGCATCCAAAGGATGAGTTTGACACCTTATGTCACTTGCCCATCCTCAGACACAGACTTCTGCAGCCACAGTGCACAAATTGGTGGTACCTCAGCTGCAGAGCCACTGAAGAGCCAGCAGATTTTTGGGTGCTGGAAGAAGGCAGGATACTTTTTGTTCTACCCATGAAATGCTGCAGTGCCACAAATAGCAGTGAAGGCTGCCTGCTGTTAATCACTGCCTGGACAAAGAAAATTTGGGGTAGGAAATGACAGCAGCTTTCTGCACACTTTCTGGTGTTTCAAAGTGTGCAGAGGTGGGACCTTAACCTGGTCTCATATCTTCAACTATCTTGATTGTACCTTTAACCCTGTGCACCAAATCTGGCTTTTTGTTCTTCACTTACACCTTGGCTCATCTCATGTGCTGATCCTCTTTTTCTTTAGGAAGAAGAATTGAAACAGGTAGCAAGTTACCTTCTCTTTGAAGGCCTTACTAACTCCTAAATGTGATTGTGTACCTGTGATTTGTGTTACTTCCTTTGCTTGAGAAGTGTGTGTGTGTTCTTTTGACCAAAATTAATGTATTGCAGTTCTTTGCCACATGTAGTGTCTTGGAGCAGTTTTCACAATGAAACATCTTAGTGCTTAGAAAGTGAGTCATGGCTACAAGGAATCCTCTTCTCACTCCTCTAAATTAAAACATGTAAGACGTAGAAACCACCCCTCAAATGTAGTGAAACCAACCTAGAATATGAATTAAATAGATATCATTTTGAAAAAGCAATGAGAAATTTTCTACTTTTGAGAAAAACATAACTGAGCTTAAATTAGTCAAGGGCAATGAGTTTGAAAGCCCATTTTTTCCAGAAAAAGTCAGGGCATAGTGTGCACATCTTTAAAAGTCAGCATTGATGCTGACAGTTCCATGAGTCTTCAGGGAAGAAGAAACATTTATTTGTTTTCTGCAACCTAGATCAAAAAGAGGAAGTATTTACATTAATAATAGTAAATTTCAGAAGATTTAATTGTTTCAGAGCTTTTCAGTATTGTACTGGATCTTGGAAATATTTTAGGCTTTTTAAAAAAGTCACTTTTCAGAGCGAAGTCTGATTTATGAGTTCAATAGAAGTGTTTCATTTTAACAAAATGCACTTCTTTCTGCTTTCATCAGCAGAAGTGCAGTCACAAGTCTGATGTGTTCTGTCTGTGGTACAGCATGCAGAGTTTGTAGGTAATGCTCACCTTCATTAAACCAACATATGGCTAATTTTTGTAGAGCATCAGTTTGTTGCACACAAAAAAAAAAATCTGAACAAATATCACTTCCATATGAAGGCTGTCTTTTTTTTGACTCTGAAGCTCTGTTCACAGAAGAGAAGCTTCCAGTGTGACAGGAGTTACCTTACCATATAAAATGTTCACTGGACAGTGTAAGTGAAAGCACCTTTTCAGGCTGCTATGAGGTATTTTTATGAGATTTTTTTTTCCCAAGTGTAATAGCCTCAACTGAATACCAGGTGATGATACTAAAGAATTACTGTCACCATTTCCATTTAATGATCCCCATTATGCTATGCCATTTCACGATCTGTTGAGAGAAACAGGATTAAATTAATTTCTGGAGGAATTCAATTGGAATGAGCAGCCTGGCAATTCATCTAAAGCTTATGAATTATCTATTTCTCATTTGCCCTTCCTTAAGAAAGGATAATGAGTTCTTCACATCCCTGTCGTTTGATGAGGCTGTGTGATTTCCTCATATGTCATCCCAGTTCAGTCCCAGCAGAGGGAGCAATGGGCTAAAACTGTAAAGCAAATTTTCATTTTAAACATTTTGTGCTAGGCATGCATGACACTTGATAGTGGGAAAACTTTCCTGTCGAGTGAGAGTTAACTTAAGAGCTGTAGCAATTTGACTAGGGATGGTGAATTAAATAAAATAGCTCAAAATTTTCCTGGAAGGCATGAGAACACTGATAGCTGCAACCAAGCACAACACAAAAGCTGAAGCCATCCAAATATCCACGGTGGCTGTGGTAGCTCCCCTTTCAGCATGCTTTAGTCCGTAGCTGGTAGAGCTGTCAAGCTTTGGGAGCAATTCAATGCTTGTTTTCTCTGAAGTTAAGGCTGGTTGTCATAGCAGATTTCAGACCATTACATCCAGCCTCTGAAAACCACTATTCTCCAGATAACCATTAAGCAGGAATCCAATCCTAATACCACTTCATTTCCACAAACCTGGGCTGAGGTGGATCTAAATGAATAAAATACATTGTTTTCACCTCTCTGAAGTCAGGCATTCGCTATTATCCTCCTATTTCAACTTGCTGTTCATCAGTTCTGTCTGATACTGCCCAAATACTATAAAAAATGAGGAGTTTTTCCTGGACAAGGAACTCTGAATGCTTCATCTTATTCAAACATTTCATGTTTGTTTATCATAAACACAAGATCTCAGTCATAGCTGCAGAACACACAGAGGGTAAGCACTGGGTCTGCAGCAGCTTTCACATCTCTTAATTCCAGCCCAGAAGCACTGGCAGGCATTTGTTATTTTTAGTAAATAAAAGGCTCTTCTGAAGTCCAGTCCTGAAGATGACTTGATGATGGGAAGCAAATTTTGTCCATTTTTTTTCCTCATCTTTCTCTGAAAGTTCCCACTGTTGTTGATATTCCCAGAACAGAGATCAAAGGCAAAAGGGAGCTAAGGAGAAAGGCAAGTGAAAAAGGGCACTTGTCTTTCAGAGAGCTGAGAACCAAAAATTCTTTCATAAATGTGTTTCAGTAAGGATGAAATGTGCTCCATTGGGGCATGAAAGAAGAAAGCTGTAGATCCTGGATGCCCTGCCTGATGTGCAGGACTTATGACTAGCAAGGAACTTGGAGCGTCTCCAAGTTGCACTGGGCTCTTCCTCTGGAGGACTAAATATCTCCATTTCTGCTGGAGCTTGTATCAATGATTCTAGAAACAGGAGAATATTTGATTTGTCTTTCATCCATCATTTAAATGTTCTAAAACTAATCACTAAAGAAATTATAAGTATTAAATCCTCCATTCTTCCATCAGTAATGTGCTTATTTCTCATAAACCTAATTTGCCTTTGATGGCTTTTAGGTGATAATGTCTCTTAGAAAGGGGTGATAGGATAAAAGAACAAGTAGCTTAGTATTCTGATACATTATTTATGGTCCAGGCCAGGAATTTATAAAAATCTCAAGGGCAATGCTGCACTCATCCTGCAATGGCCAGCTCTTGTCTTTTTTAGAACATATTGCCAGACACAATCACTGCTGCAGTGGCAACCAATTCCAGAGTAAAAATAAATGTCAAAAACATGGGAAGAGTTAAGAAATCCTCCTGTATTTTTAAAATAAAGCCAAGATAGGGGCTCTGGTCACTTTTGACCAAAAACAACCAGGAGCTTGTGTTGCAGTTCACCTTTAAAAGCACTCGAGCCACCTCCATCCTTGGCATCTGCTAAACACTGGGTTTCAAAAATCAGGTGTGGTTTGGTGTGGGCTCCAGCATTAGGTTTTTCTTACATGGATACACATTCCCAGGACTTTGAAACAGTGGATGAGAAGAGCACTGTGTCTCTTGGTATCACTCACCTAGCTGCATTAGTAAAAATTGCAATTTTGTAAAGTCTGCTTGAATTTCAGCTAAGCGATGCTAACGGTGAGGTGCTAACAGCATGACATTTATATGACTGGTGTTAAAACATTTTCACTTTCAGCAGCTGAACCCATAGCAGGAATTTATATTGCCCTATCCCCACAGTGTTTTGGGAGTGCCTGAGTATGTCCTGTGGAGCAGATAATTTAATAGTGGCTTAAATAGTTCTCTAGCTCCAAATAAAAAGCAGAAATTTGTATTATTTATTGCAAATGTCAGACTTTATGTGAGTGAGAGGTTGCATGTACCATGAACTTGTCTTGCAGGAGGAGAAGGGCAAGGCTGTGATCAGCTCTGCTGGCAGGGCTCTGCTGAAAAGGGCTGCTCCAGTCCCTTGCCCAGGCTGAAAGTTGTGTTGGTGCCAGCAGCTTGCCCCTTCTCACAGCCAGAATGGGTTACAGTTTAGCAGATATGCATGTGAACTGGAGGAGTGAGAGGGGAGAGGACAGACAGGTCTGTAGTGTGGTCTCTATTAACTTGGATTTTTTTTTAATTTAGCTGCCTGACATTTTCCCATGCTTAAAGGAAGTCAGATCTTGACTCATATTTTCCTACTTGCTGTTTCCCTACAGAGAAGCCTTGCTGCCAACTAACAACTGACTTTGGTTTATTTCTTCTAGCAAAATTAACATTACCCAACTGATCTACAAATAGCACAATGCCTTTAAGCTGAGGGATGGGTGACCAGGACAGCAGGGAGGCTCTTGCAAAGCCCCTGTTTAACCCCTTGATTGTTTTTCAGACGCAGGGGGCAGGTTCCCCACGTTCCTCACCCAGCCACACCATCAGCCGGCCGATTCCCATGCCCATCAGGTCTGCCTCTGCCTGCTCCACCCCGACCCACGCACCTCAGGACTCTCTGACCGGGGTGGGAGGAGATGTGCAGGAAGCCTTTGCACAAAGTAAGTCTTATTAATAGCTTGTGTCAGGCACCTGGAGACTGAAGAATCATTATTTCTTGTGGTTACTGAGTAAATGTACTTGAGCTTCTGAGTTGCATGCAATGAAACAAAACAAAAAATGTCTGTGGCACCTGCATTTTGCCATTGAAAATCAACTGTTAGCCATCAATGCAAGCTGTCAAGGTAACAGAAACTGGACAACGATGCCAATTAATGGAGTTTGAGGTAAGAAGGAATTTTGGTGCAAGAGAGTGAGAACAGTCATCACTGCTCTGTTAACCAGAAAAGTTGCTATTGACCTCACCAAGCATTGTCAGTGTGTTTCATTTTAAATAAAGACTTTGCTAAAAGTAAATGATACAGTCATAGAATTAGTTCAGGTGAAAAGGGCTTTTGTAAGTCACTGTGTCCTTCTACTCCTAGAAAAAGGGCTTCAAAGTGAGATCAGACTGTTCAGGACCATTACTAGCTGAGTTCTAGATGGCTCCTGTCATTAATTTTCTCTGTTGCAGTGTTTCACCATCTTTACTGTGTAAATTTTTTGCCCTTCTATCTGATTGGAACATCCCTTGATACAACTTGTGACTACCATCACTTGTCTTTTTTGCTTTGGGCCTGAGAAGGGTCCAGTTAGACTAGACAAGAATCAAGTCTGAATGTCTAGGTAAACCCTTTCTTTGCATTTACAGAAAACTGTCATCGCCTTCCCACTCTTTTTTCAAGTAAGAATAAATTTTAAACTCTTGAATTTCTAAGGCCACAAATTAAATTACTGTATTGAATAACACAGAAAGTGACTAGTCTGTGTTATCTAAATAAAGAATTTTATTTTTTTTAATCTGCTCTCTCTAAATTATTTACATAATTGTAATTCTACGATCTGAACAGGTTTTTTTCCTCTTTCCTAGCACAAATTAAACATAAGTTTAAATGTAAGCTCAGAAGTTCCTCTGCTACAGTGGAGGCATGCTTCTTCCCAGGAACCCAGTTCAGCAGCCTTCCCCTTGATTTTCCTGTGAATTGTGTCTTTGTGTGTATTTTTGGACAAGGTTGAATCTGTAATGCAATCAAGAACTTTCTCCTAAAGTGCTGGTCAATTCAAGTATTGGACATAGGCACAATTCCTGGTCCCAGTGTAAAGGGTTGCAGCTAATCTCATTTTCTATGACAAAAGAAAAACAGGCAATATACTTTCCTTTTTTTCTGCTATGAGAAAAATCAAGACAGGCAAAAATGTGGAGCCCAAACTCTTATGCTGTTATGGGACAGCTTCTTTAGAGTTAACAGTGAGATAAATAATGTAGCAGCCACAACAAAATATCCATAAACAATGCTAAGTCTGCCTCAGGCAAATGCACTTCAAGTGTAAAAATGTGTTCTGTTGAAGATCAAAAGCAATATAAGAAGTTAGGTGATCACATTTTAAAACTGCAGCATTTGATAAATACCTATGTTTGTGTCATTATTTACTGTAAGCTTTAGATGGGAAGGTCAAACCCAAAGAACTTGAAGCCAGCATTCTGCCACATTTTGACATATGACTTTGTGAGGGGGGTTGGGCTGAGATTTTATGGCTTCATTCTCTGCTGCACCAACAGAGATCTGCCTACATAATGCAGACAAGCCATGGTTAAAGGATGTTTTCTCTTCATTGTCTCTGTTTCACAGCATTTGCAATAGTACAGAAGCACAAATTTAGGAAGACTTTATAGAGGGAGTCATTGTCTTTGTGTGTGTACAAGAGAGTTTAACTACTATAATTTACATTCCAGTACTATTTTCTAGTGGATGCATTAAAAAAAAAACCTCTTCAGGATTCTTTAGGATTGGAGAATTTTTTTTAAAATGTATTGGTTTGCATTCATTGAGTTTTAAAAAATCTGCAGTAGGTGATTCCTGTAAATAATTCTATTTGGAAGACTAGTGATTCTGTGGAATATATTGATTATTCAGCTATTCAAAAATAGTATCTGTGTTTGAGATTTGAGGAAGTTAAGCACACGTTACCCACAGACCCTTCCTAAGGAAGGAGTATTCCATGCAGCTCACAAGAATCTCTCATGATTGATGGTTAAGGGAATATTGCCAGGTTCAGCAGGGAAACACTTCTAGATGCGTTATTAGAAAGAGTTTAAAAGCAGCCTGGGGCTGTTTAGAAAGGCAATAGTGCTTCCTTTATTAAAAAAAAACAAGGAGGGGCTGGGGGCAGTGAGAGAGAGACATTAAATTACAGAATATACAAGAAAGTCCTTGAGCTACAGGAGAGGCTGAGAGGGAGCAGAGAAGAGAAATCCATATAGTCTTGATGAGGGATGAGGTCAAGTGTGTTTCTTCAACATTTGCCATAATTATCTGGCAAATACCTGGCAATAATGGTGTCATTAAACTGAGCTGTGGGAGCTTAGAGAAAACACTTCATTTCTTCCCTCCTCCCCCACAGGCACTGTAAATGAGTTCACGCTGGATTTAATCTTCCAGGCCTGGTCTGCTGGTGTCACCACACAAATGCAAGCTTGATGGCAATGAATAATCTCCACATATCTGGCATTGTGATTAAATGAAGCATAAGGGTAGGCTTCTGCTTTTGCATACAGCATAAGTAAATGAGGCCTTTCTGCAGAGAACTCTTCTGCACGTGCCCCTCCTGAGGACTTTGATACCCTGAATTATCACAATGACAGCTTTCAGCAGGGTCAGAACTGCTTCCAACAGTAAAACATATGTCATGTGAACAATAGTAACACTGTGCTTTGTCCATCTCTTGCTTCAGGTGCAAGACGAAACCTAAGAAACGATTTGCTGGTGGCGGCAGATTCAATCACCAACACCATGTCTTCTTTGGTAAAAGAACTAAACTCTGGTGAGTGAGGCTAACGATGGGGAATAGTCACCACAGTGACATTTCATGTTGATATGAAAAAAGTGAGAGGTAGGAAGATACGTATCTTCAAAGCTTTTTATGCTTTTATTAAAATAATCCCTACATAACAGCTTCTGGAACGCAGCAGTTCTCAAAGCCATGGATATAGAGGTGCAGCTGGATACAGTGAAAACTTTTTGATTCCACATGGAGTAGGATTTCATTCTTTAGCAATTAGATTTAGTACAGATCATACAGGACCTGTTGTACAATGCAGTCTGCAGTATTGCCATTAAAATATCCAACCTAATAACTGAGATAAACAAAACCCTCAGTATTTGGTCCCACCATAAGAAGAAAACTATAAGCTTTGCCAATATAAGTAGAATAATGTGCTTTTATTCACTGTGAGGAGGCGGCATTCTCAGTTGGAAAGGCAAAGAAATGCTTAAAGAAATAGGCAAGTATATTTTTGTGAAAGTTAAATGTGACTTCTTGCTTCACAGAAGTGGGCAGCGAGACAGAGAGCAATGTGGATTCTGAGTTTGGACGGACTCATTTTGATGACCTGGTTCCATCCCCAACGTCTGAGAAGGCTTTCCTGGCACAGATCCATGCCCGGAAGCCAGGGTACATCCACAGCGCTGCTGCCACTGGCTCCATCCGCAGTGACATGTGGGTACCTGCCTGACACCCCTTCCTGATCTCATTCTTCCTTTGAAAACAGAGTGCAGCATGCAGTATTTCCTTTCCCTCTTAATTATTTGGGTAAAAAAAAAGAAAGCCATAAATCCAAGTGAGGACTGCTTCATGGTTACATAGCAGTGGGCTCTGTAAACAATAAAGCCAGGAACTTGGGATTCCCTCAGGAGTGAGCTGTCACATCCAGCCTGGAACAGCATGGAGGCTGCGGGACAGCTGTTTTTCCAAACATGCCATGAAGTCCTGTTCTCTTTTTATCCAGACTGTGGGACCTGTTGGGGCTCACTGGAAAAGGAGAAATGTGTAAATGGAAAAGACAGAATGCTTTTTATTGACCTACTCAATTGATGAACAAGCAGATTGATTTTTACAACCTGATCCTTCCTTTCAGAGACAATAGGCATCTTTCCAGTTATTTTTAGTTCAGCCTCTTTGTATGAAGTTATTGAGAACTTTTGTTACTCATTTCCTTACGGGGAGTGCCTTCAGCAGAATATACCTTTTGGTGTACTTCATGAGAGAGGGAAATAACAGAATTGTTCTCCACTGCCAGGAAAATACTAACCAGTGGAGCATGTGGTTAACTAAAAGTATCCCATAGTCCTCATAGATACAATAAAGGGAAGTTTTATTGATCCTGAATATCATTCATCTCAGGAGGCTATTTATTAATAATTGTCTTTAGGGTTACAGAAGATGGAGACCCTTATGTCAGAGCAGATGATGAAAATTACGAGAACGACTCTGTCCGCCAGCTGGAGAATGAACTGAAAATGGAGGAGTACCTGAAGCAGAAGCTGCAGGATGAGGCGTACCAGGTGGGAGAAGATGACCTGCTGCCCATGTTTCTCCATAAGTGAGAAAAGATGATGGCCCTCAGGTGCCCAGTGCTGTTTAACTAGCCCTGGGTCCTGGGGTGTGATCTCTTCTGGGTTACCAGAGCAGCCACATTCCAAAAACTGCTGCCACCCTTCCACATGCATCCAGCCTTTGTGCATATCCAAGAAGACCACGTGCCTGAGGCACACAGCAATAGTCCATAAGTCCAGGGAACCAGGTGGGACAGAACTGCCTCTGAGCTTGTTCTCTGCCTATGTCTACCAAATCACTTGGATCTCATTCCCCACTACCATAGGTGCTGGTTGGTGGTATCAAGATGTACTGCTATTTTCATATCCTTTTTTTTTTTTTCTCCAGTAGCAAAAAATATTCATAAGGGTTTCTCCAGTGTGAACTGAAGCTCAAGTGCAAATCTGTGTGTTACTATCATTGTCAGAATCTGGAGGTACAGAAAAGGGTCTGAAACTAATTGTGTTCCAGAGAACCAAGTATTGAACAAGCATCTGGTACAGAGAAGCCTGGGGATTTGTTATTAAACACATCCCTGATGAAGCTCTCAAAGGGCATTTGTTTAACAGTCTGAGTAAAGAAAATACGTCAGGGAGAGCTGGAATTCTGTAGATGCCTGTATCTACATCATGGTCTCCAGTTCTACCTGGTGTTGCAGATTGTTGCCATGTTTTCAGTTATTCTGATTTGGAATATCTGAATTTAAAATACATTGCTTCTAATAAAGTTGGAAGTACTGTCAATAGGACAGAAAACCTAGTTCAGTTATTTGGGAGCGGAGCTGAAGCAAGCAAAAATAACTGTACCCACATGGTGATCAGTTCAAATTTGGACCTCACCCCTAAATAAAATACTAAATGGGCTTAAAAAAAAATAAAAAATAGACATGTTCTGAGAGATCAGATATCTGCAAATGAGGTTCAAAATCACTTTATGGGCAAGAATTCTTTATACTGCTGATTTCTAGAAGCTAATAAAATCTAGCCCTTTTTTTTTTTTTCCTGATAATTTTCCTCTAGTGTTCAGTGCTGGTCACTTTGGATACAATCTGTGTCTGACAGGCTTGTGTTGCAATGAAAATCAGCTGCTTTTTTGGTCTTCTTTTCTGTAAATCTGCTAGGATATGTTAATCTTGTAGAAGTTCATTGAATCTTACCAAAATTTGAGGTAACTTTGAGGTTGATGTGAATGTCTTGTTGATGCAGACCTGCTGCATGCCCATGGTAGGTTACCAAAAGTCTTCTCATTGCAGAGGTCTTTAAGGACATGACAGCAGGAGCGGGATTGTTACAGATTATTTACTAAGGCAACAGCAAGTGACATAGGGGGAATTGTGAGAGCTTTTTATCAAAGATAGGAAATGTCAAAAATCACAGCCTTTAAACTTCTGAACAAGATGAACAGCTACTGTTGATGTAATGAAAAGTAATTGTTAGTTTAAGAAGTGCCTAAATAGTCACAGCTGTCAGGCATCAAATAATAAATATTATTCTTGTTGGTAAAAATTCCATTTTCTTCAGAAACAACAGACCAGTTTGACTATGTTTCAATTACAGTATGGAAGTGCAATATACGACAACAATGTTACTTGAGTTTCAAAAGTTTCTACGGGATTTTGTACATGCATGAAATTCAGTATGTATGTGCACTGCAAATAAGGGCAGAAGTTATGCATTTCACTTGATGGCACTAGGTGTTACTCTTGCTTCAGTCAAAATAGTTTTTGTTCTGTTTTCCACCAACATTCCCAGGAGAAGGGGAGAAAATCTTCTCCCTATTAACATCAGAATAAAACTCCTGAATTTAGGTGAGCCAAGACTACACACAAGTGAAGTTTATTCCCCATTGTTGTACAGCTAGGGGAACAAAAACAGACAAAAAACTCAATACACACACACACACACACACACACAGCCAAAAAAAAAAAGCTAAGCTATTTTTTGTCAGAAATATATTCACTGAGGGAATAGAAAGTCCTCATTCTAGTCAAGTTCTGCTTAACAGCATTTTTTCAAAAGATGTTTCATGATGTACTTTACTGTCTGTGACATTGTCAGTTCCTATCAGGCAGTGATTTGACAGTAGTAACTTGCACATAGAGTCTATTTTTTAGGTGATACCACAGCCCCAAAGCATGTAATGGCAATGCATGAGAGGTCCTTCCCAGGATGGGTGATGCCATTTAAGTTAGGGAATGGGTTTAAAGGAAGCAAGAAAAGTCCTTAAGTGAATAAGGACTACTAAAATGATTAGGAGCTGTTTGGAGAGTGTCATATGTTGATTCTGAGACGTGTTCTTAGGTATTGGTTGTTTTTTGCAATTTGCTGTTTATTTGTGGTATTTTGCTCTTCTATCCCTTTTTCTACTAATATCACTGAGTATTCTAAAAAAAGCCACAGCTTTCTACTTGGAAAAACAAAGGAAAATTGGAAAATTTCTGTTTAGGGTGTCCTGTTGAACAGAGGCCAGGTCAACTATTCTCATTTGCATCAAACCATTGGAATTTATAACAAGCTGGTTCACTGTTTGTAATCACATATACACTGCATTCATCTGGATTGCCAAAAAAAGACAGAACCTGTAGCTGTCGTAATGCAATTGTCAGCTGAAAATATCTGCAAGGAGGAACTCCTACTAAGGTTGCAGAATGGTCACCTCAGTAACAATCTGGTAACCATTTTTATGTTATTAAATGTCTCACTTCATGTAAAATCAGCACATCTAGAAAAACATGTAGATGTAGTGTGGCATGAAAGATGGTTGGCCCAAACCCACTCTTGTTATTTTGTGTCACCTTGTCTCCAAGAAAGATTTTTGTGCTAAACTCTAAATTAGTATTCAAAAAACAAGATACATAGGGAAATCAGGGACACAAAACCTTAGAGGAGGCTTCTTTCTCTCTCTCTTTTTTTTTTTTTAAGCATGTTGTAAATAACAAGTATCTACATCAGAAAAACCCAAACACATTTAATGCACAAGTGTAAATGCTAACAGTGTGTATCCTCCCACATCTGTTTCCACTTTTGTTCTTGGTACAGTCTTTTGCTGATATGTTGTGTAAGACAGTTTTCACTGGGTTTGTTTTCTGGGTCCCTAATTGCTCCCTTTATTTCTAAGCTTGTGCATGGCTTTTTTCAGAATAATACACTGCCTGGCTGCTCACAGGCTTAATTTGTCATCTTCCTGTTTTCTGTCCTTTGTTATCTACAGGTCAGTTTGCAAAGTTGAGTGCAATATTCTTCTCTCTCCTCTCAAGTAAGTATTATTATAATTTAGAAGAAAGTTTGGAATTAATCCTTATAATATACATTTCAGTTGCAATGCATCTTGTGGCACCTGACTGTATGTGACAATGCTGTTTTTTTCTCTTTTTAACCTGTGTTGGGATGCCTTGGAATCTCTCTGAATCAGTTCTAATTTATGGATCTGTAGTCCTAGTCCCAAGGATTCCTGTAAAGCCATCACCCTTTTTATAGTTTTCCTTTGTTGACCATCAGAGTGAGAACGTGTTTTTTTCATCCCTGGGGGTGATGAAAAATACATTAGCCAGTACAGAGGAACCTTATCCAGAAGATAAGGAACCAGATTACATTTCAGGAGACCTGAGTTTGTCTCAGTCTTTGACTTTGACTCTGTCTGAGTCCTTTCAATGCTTTAGTCTTCCTAAAATAACTGAAATAAATAATTTCTGATGAGATCAGAACATTTACTCTACTGTGGGAAACAAGACTTACGCAAGCATTAAAGAAGGCAATTCACCAGCTTTTTAACTACAGAGGTGTTCTTAGATATGTTGTGGAAGTTTAAAATGCCCCAATCCAAGTGGAAGGCACTCAGCTACTGGATAGAAGCTGGCAGTTCAGAAATATGGCAAAATCTATAAATTCCCTGCTGTCCCATATTCAGGTTATGTTCCTTACATGCCGACCTCATAGTTGCAGCGCTGAGATTATTGTCAAGTTCAGCAATTGTGTTTCTCTTCAGGAAGACAGACAGCATCTATTTTTATGAAGTAGCGCCTGTTAACTCTGAACATTTGCCCAGGAAATGGGAGACCACATATTTCTTCTTGCCTCTTCTGAAGCTGTGGACTCTGCATTTCTGACTTTCTAGGAGAGTGCAGTACCCTGCTGTGGAGATGGCAGTGAGATAGTGCTGTACATCCTGCTGAGACACTGAACCATGGACTAATGGGGACAGAAAGGGAAGAGAAATGAGAATAGGGATCTGATTCTGGTCTGCAGACTGAGCCTCTTCATCAAAGCCAGAACTAAAAGCAAGCAGAGGTCAACAATCAAATGGACGCTGGAGCTTGGGAGCAGGGTCATGTTCAGATGAGCAAAACCAGTGAACTAGCCTGAGCCAACTCTAACAGGAACCCGTATTGTTAGATTTTGTGTCATGTTTTATGCAAGATCTCCTTATTTATATGGCAGTTTTAATGCTAAAACTTGACCCTGATTCGAGGGGTTTGTGTCTTCTGATGACAGTAAAATTTGACTGTTAAAATGTGTACCTTGTGAAAACAGCAGCTAGTGGGTATTTGCAAATTACCTGTCTCAGTGTCTCTTGCAGATGAAGCAGAATAACTGGATGTGAAAAGCAAATAAACTGCAATACCCAGAGTACTATAAACACCAAATAACTGCTCATAAAAATTCTCCTAACATTGCTCCTCGGGTTACATTCATTTTCTCAGTAGTCTTGTTAGAAACATGAGCCATGTACAGTTTCCTAAACAAGGACGGCCAGAAAAATAAGTTTTCTTATTCTGTTTCGGTGCAGTTGTCAGTTTTAGATCAGGTCATGTGAAAAGGAAAGTAGATTTTCCAACAACAGTGTTCATGTATAACTATGTATATAGTGGAAATTTTATATGAAGCTGAGTGTAATTATAATTTGCAATAATAAGTCAAAAAAAAACCCTTTTTAATTAGAATTACAAAACTCAGGCAGTTCTATTTAAGGTTTCATTTTTGTTGGGACTCAGTGTTAACATAGTAATGTGGGGAAGCATACTGCCCTAAAAGCCTGGCTTTCTTGAAAATACGAATCCTGTCTCAAATTAGCAGATATCTGAGACTGAGATTCTGTTTCATCTCCTGGATAACTTTTGAAACCTTGTCAAAAAGAAAGATTTTTGACAGTGAAATTCTTTTTAGTCCCTAGGGAAGCACTTTGGCCAGTACCAAAGACTGTAACATTCCCAGGAGCTATAAAAGCCCAGCCCTACAGAAATTGGCATCCAGAACTGGTGGACTTGACACTTCACCTATAGCCACAAGAACAAAATGTTTTTGACAAACACATCTTCACACAGTAAGTGAATCTTCTCAAGATTCACTCTGTTGTGAATATGGAAGTCTGTCATATCTTCTGTATTTTATTTGGTACTTACATTTCACACACCACTGAAAAAATAACTTCAAAATAGTTTATACCAGTCATGGTATGTAAAGTGCTTTTGCAATTTTCATTGGGTTCTTGCTTGAAGTTTAGAAGCTGCATGAAGATTTTTATTTCTAAGCCCTTATTCAAGTCAATAATGGTATGAATACAGTCAATATGGCCCTAGGTGGCCATAGGAAGTAGAAAGCCAGTACACTTTATCTCACACCAGTATTACATTTGTGCTTATTAAAATAAAAAAATACAAAAAATAAATAAAACAAAATAAATAAAAAACAAACAAACCAAAGATGGGGAAAATGAGATCAGTTTATTGTAACTCCTTATGAATGATACTGCTGCTGGTGGCCAGCTACAGAGTTTTGTTCATTTCCTCATTCATCTGAAGTTTATGTTATTTGGTTGATGATTTTTGCAATCTGTTTGCATTTGCATCTTTAAAAGTGCTATATACAATTTTCCAGAATAGAATTTAAATTTAAATAGCTTCTAGTATAATAAATGCCCAAGAGAGCAAGTGATTCCAGTAATATATAAAATATAATTTAATAACGTTTTCAATTTACTTTTTATGTTAAATATGCTTGTTTTATTTTTAGTGAAGCAACAGCATGAATTTGAGCTTGTTTTCAGCAGGTACTAGGCAGATCTTGACATTAGGTGAAACTGCAACTTGGATGTTATTTTACCTTTATCCCCTTGATAGCATTTGGTTTTTTGCCAAGGGTGGCCAGTGGGAGCAGAAAGCCTGCATTTCATAAACTGCTGGAGAAGTTGTCATTTTCAATTAGTTGTTATTGATTCATGCAGTGGACGTATCCTCACAAGACCTACAATTTCCTAGATTTTCTGAAGCTGTGCTTTCTTAGTGCTGGTTTGAATTGGTCATGCGTATTTCATATATCCACATTATTACAATAGGAGAGAAGGTGTGAAAAGCTAGCAGAAATCAGACCTAAGGCGTCCACTGAGAGGGAGCACAGAGAGAAGGCTTTGTTGCAGGTTTTGTTCTCAGATTTTAACTGTGATTTTCCCTATCTTGACAAAAACATAATTTCAGTTCAAGATTTAGTTCCATTCCCACTCCAAGCCCTCTCACTCTGTCACAACCTTATAACATGAACTGTTGTGGGGTCTGAGGCTTTGGGTGTCTGTGGGTGACATTTTTCCATTGCAAAAGTGACTGAATGGTTTGTATGGGAACAGGTGGGATTTTTTTAAAAAACCCAAATTCTCTCAAATTTGTGATAGGAATGCATTCTTAAAAAATACTATGTCTTCAACTTGACTGTTTTTTCAGAACAGAATTCGTGTTGAGTAACACTTTCATATTTTTTTTCATTTCTTGCCATTTTTTTGGAACCTCTGTTTTAATGTTTATCAGCAGAGATTAGGAATATTATCAGATGTCAAGTGTTAGAACCCATGGGCCAAGGGAGATGGTGTGGTCAGTCTAGTCCAGTCTTTCTGGGTTTTTTCTTGAATAAATACATAAAAGCCAGCATTATCTGGACCCTTCCATTTTAAAATAATAGGAGGATAACAGCACAGAAGTTTTCAAAAATGTCTGCTACATTCACTCAGCTGTGTTTTGGTTTTCTTTTCTTTTTAGTTTATTTTTCTCCCTAAGTCCTCCTCTTCCTAGCATGTAGGCGTAAAAAATGCTCTAAAAAACTGTGACCAAGTTAACAGGGAAGAAGGACCTTAAATTTGTGAATTCAGTTCTAAAATTACACAAGTGATAGGGTTGTTTTTTGAAAAATCACTGAATGACAAGTAACAGAAAAGAATCTGTGGATTAAGTAACAGAAGAGGTCTAGAAATAGTTTTATATCATGACAAATCATATGAGTCTTAACTTGGAATTAATATTGGCACTTCCAAAATGTTGAAGTGAATTTAAAGCTCCAAGGTTCATTAGTATTCATTATTTCCTGTAGGAAAATATCTCTATCCCAGTGCTGGCTGTGGAACAGAGAGAAGCCTGGGGAGAATAATAACCCTTCTCACAGTCCACCAAAGAGAAGTAATTTATCCAGAAAATATGAAGCAAACCCAAATACTTAACATTACTGTCAATGCTTCTTAATGCTTCCCATGTTTCACAAGCCACTCTTATTTTACTCTTGTGGTTTATAATGGTACCATGAGAATTTGGTACTAATAATAAATATGAGATTTTTGTGTATTATGAAAAATTCTGTCACCAAAAGGACTGCCAAGCATTGGAACTGGCTGCCGAAGGAAGGGGTTGAGTCACCATCCCTGGAGATATTTAAAAGGGGTGTGGATGTGGCACTTGGGGACATGGTTTAGTGGTGGTGAGACTTGGCAGTGCTGGGTTAATGGCTGGACTGAATGATCTTTTCCAGCTTAAATAACTCTATTATTTACATAACCTGAAGCCAGCTGAAAACTGACCTCTTCCATGCCTTTGATTTGTATAGTTTTGTCTGAATTGTGAAGGGCAAAACATTCCTTTGCTAAGATTACCAAATTAGTTTGCAGACTTAAGAGGTACAGGTGCATGTCTTATTTCTTAAAGATACCATTTAAAATATACCTCAGAAATTTTTTATGAAACTCTCATTAGACTTGCAGTGCAGGTTTCCTTTGCATTTGTCAACAAAATGTTAATGCTTGTCTTTTGTAACCATCTCACACTAAAGGAGACACTAAATTAAGATCATCATACCATTTAGCATGCCTAGGTATTAAGGAGTGGGGTGGAAGTGTTTGTGCTTGAATAATTAATACAATCAAATGGTCTCAGGAAGGAGAAGCAGCAAACTGAACTACCTGACCTTTCTTCATTCATCGGATTTAATTTAACTATTTTTGTCAGAGTAATTTGCATTTCATCTCCCATCTCTTGGACCAGCTTTATGCCTGAAATGAGTAGAAAAGAATTCATGTGTGGGGGGTAGTATATTGTGATGTGATTATCATAGCTCATGCAATGCAGATTGGTTTTCTCTCTGAGGTAGTTCAAAAGAAAAAGGGGTGTGTTCCTTAACTTAGGAAGGGTCAAATGTGTAAACAGTGCCTTTACAATAAATGTGCCAAAAGCAGAAGTTTGCAGTATTACCTAACTGTAGACATAGTTCTGAGAGGGAGCAGCAGTAACTTACCAAGCATTTTCCATTACCAACTAAAACTTTGGTGCTTCTTCTGTAGCAATTTAACATACTCACTGATGCTTCAGGATACAGGGGAGCACCGACAGAAACTGGTGTGCCAGTGGATTGGGTTGTTCATAAGCTGTAGCATCCAGAATCATCCTTTCAAGTAACTGCAGGTTTTCTTAGACACAGTAAAACATACAAGACATTTACACGTGAGGGGAGGCTCATGATGGCAAATGACTGTAAATCAAGTGGCTGAATACTGCACAAGGCAGATAAACCATGGTTTCATTTTCAATAATCTGTTTGTAGAGCAATCTGGAAGGTGAAAGTGGAAGGGGAAGATGGGAACACTGCAAATCTATGTCATTGCAGACTGAGTTTTACCCCAAGGTCCCACAGCAGAGCAGGCAACAGTCTTCTTGCCCATGGCAAGGAAAGTTTCCAACTTCCCACATGCCCTGTAAATTTTTATTTACAGCTCAAATACCTATGGCTCACCTAGCTAGAATGGCTTTTTTCCTTTTTTAACTCTTTGAGGGATAACCACAGGAATTGGCCAGCTCCCTTTTTCTCCCAATAAAACAGCAGTTGGAGGCTTTTCTTGCTCTGCCTGCATGGCTGCAGCACATTAAACCAGCACCCTTTAAGAACCTTCCATAAACGTTTCTCAACAGGGAAGCTGCAGTCAGACAGACAATGAAAGCTACGTACGAACTGACGATGAGGAGAGCTGCTTTCGGACAGACGACGAAGAAAACTCAGCTGCGAACTTCACGGAACAGTGGAACCAAGAGGTGCAGCGTCTCTTGACAAAAAAATCACATAACTAAGTTCTGAGGACTGTAGCACAGTACTTTTGTTCTAAGAGTTGTAGTTTGTAGATGTGTGTTTTTTGACAACAAGACTTTTGTTTAAAGCTAACTTATATTAGCTACATCTTCTGTAACATGGCTCATTACTGGTGAAGCAAACAGACTGATGCGCGTGCTGCTGTCACACACGGCAGTGCTGTTAATAACTCACGTAAACCCTTTGCACATGATATTGAACCTGTTCAGTTTACAATGACAATACTGTTTATAGTTAGAAATTTGATTTCTGAATACTTTGAGATTTTAGTAGATCAGTTTACTATACACTGTACATTTTTCTTTCCATGGGAAAAATAAAAAGCTACAATTATGCATTTAACACTGAATGATTATACTCCTGAGTGTATATATCTAGTAGCCCAAAAAAAAGTACCAGACTATATTTGCAATTTGTTTGCAAGTCTTTAAATTAAGGCTTATACAAAATGTACTAAAAATTATAATAATATAATTAATAATAATAGTAAACTTCTCTAGTTTAGGGCTAATGTGTAACTTAGGAATGTTTCTTTCAAAATAATCTAACAAATCAGCCATAGAAGTTAGTGTAAATATTTTTTTTCCAAATAGATATCATATACAAAAGGTGACATTCAAATGATATAGAATCTAGTTTTTAAATCAGCACAGATCTTCTTAAAACTGTGAACTATGTTTTGAAATACTCGTTGCTAAAGCTGTTTATAAACCACAGGTGCCATAAGATCCCTGAACTGACTGATGTTACGTATAATCCTCCATGGTATTGTTTCATTGATGTTTTAGCTTTAGTAAGCATGTGTTCAACAAACCAGCTCTTTCCATCTCTCTGCCCCTCCTCTTACTCCCCACCCCCTTCCATTATGTTATTTTCGAGGCCTTCAGCTTTAAATGTACAGGCTTAAAGTGCGCTTGCAACTGTTTTCTTTTGATTTCCGAATGTGTACTGCCTTAGCCAGCCACCAGATGTTCTGCATGCCCTCTTGGAAATGTGTGGTGAGACTCTTTCAGAGCTGGATGGAGAAATAGCGATCAGTGAAAAGCACAAGAAGAGCAGTGGATTTTTTCGAAAGGACAGGCATACAGTTGCAGAATTGGAGTTTCGTCCAGTTTAGTATTTTTCCAGTATCAAGGCATTTCAGGAGAAATGGGACTGACCTGGCCATTAGGCAGGGTTAGGCAATGAGGCTGCTGGCTGAAAAGTGTTTGCTCTGCTGTGACTACAAACCTACAGATACTCCTGAGCAGGCATTGACACAAACTAGCATCAGCGTGCTCCCCAGAGCACCCTGCTCTGAAACAAAGGTGACACCTCTGTGGCACGTGGCACTGGCGTGCAGAGGAACCAGAGCCAGGCCAGGGACAGCTGGAGCAGCAGCCAGGCAGGGGCACCAGGAGGTGTTCCGTGCTGGCCATCTGGCCCTCCTGAGCTGTCCAGTGTTAGCTCAGGGCCACCTCTGTGCCAAGGTAACTTCACTGCCCTAATACAGTATTGGGCTTCCAGTACCTGGCTAACCTGAAGTGACACTGTCTAACAGCCCTGCAAACAGTGGTGTTTCATACAGATATTTCACACCAGCACAGTTTGCCTACAGCAAGTGATGAGATACCCATCTAAAGCAGGTTAACGTGGCTTGTCTGTCCTTGCTTTCATGGTGACGTGGATGTGTGCTGCCGTATTTACGTGAGATTGCTATGTAGCTCGACCCAGTAAGTCCACTTGTTTGCATGCATTCTCCAGGCTCGTGGCTGTTTCCCTGGGCACTATGTGTTAGGGAATGAGTATCTGTATGAAAGAGCTGCTGCCATTTTTCACTTTCATATCATTTTATTATGTACGCAGATCTCTTGTCTGTATATCCTTGTGGATCTGGGCTCGCTCTCAGACATCTAAATGCATACTAAGGGATCCAGATACCTTCATGTAAGCTTTTCATTTTTGCAATCACTGGTCTTTGCTCCTGGGGTATGTGCTATCCTGGCAAGGTAGGCACCATATCCTCCACTGTCCCCTCCTCCAACCTCCTCTCAGGAATGAGTTAGCCTCCACTAGTGCCTAGCACTCCATGTTTTAAGCTACTCCAGTGAACCTGTAGACATTGCTGTCGGCTCAGGATTCCAGGCAAGCATTTCCTGAACAGGGAGAAAACAAGCTAGAACACAGCTACATGCAATGGCTGATTAATTCAACCCATGTCATGTTTAACTGTACCCAAAGTAATAGATCCCTCTCATCACCTTAATGTCTGCGTGCTCATTATCACCACACTTAAAATAGATGCATTAGACTAAATCCATTGCAAGAGCTTCCGAGCTAGGAGTAAGAACTGAAGTTGCCTAATCACCTTTCTTTTAGGCTGGTGTGAACAAGATGATCCCTTAGAGTTGGAGTTCTGGGTCCCTTATGCCCTGGAGCTCTGAGATGAAGCACCTCTTACTTAGCTCTGCAAACATCTATTTTAAGCATTTTTCCAACTGTTAAGCTGGCTGCATTTTCACCCAGCTGGTCTTTGTCTGTTTGTTGAATATTATTTTGGTTGTGGTTTGCGGTCATTAAAACAAACACAGTTACAGAAGAGGTCCCTGGTACGGCCCTTTTCTTAACTACCAATGGCCCACCAACAGCCATCAAAACTCCGGGTGGTTTTACTGTCACTGGAGGAAAACCAGTGGTTTGGAATCAGGAGGCAGGGATGTGAAGATGTATAGGGTCCTTGAATGTCCAAAGCGAAGGTGGAGAATGGGTTGTCTGTAAGTAGTAATGTTAACTAAACTGCATAAAAAGGTGTGTGGCCTTTGTTGTGATATAATATGTATTTTCTTATATGCATGAGCCAAATTGTTGCATCATAATTTATCATAAGTGTGTCCGCCTTTACTTTCAGTCATCATCTTCTCCCATCCTTATTGGTTCTTGGCAATTACTGTAGATAGACCTTGTAAATATTGCAACCTCGGGTTGCTGTAATCACATTGGTTCAATTCAGCAGACGGAGCTGTGAACAACAAGCACTCCATGGTGTCCTGAAGAATAAAGGGCATTTTTACCTTTGAACCAAAAAAAAAGTACGAAGAGTTACATCTTGAGGCTACTAACTGCAACGCATTTTTAAAACTACTGTACTTGACACCACTTGAGACAGATACAGAGACACTAAAGATGTCACGATATTCATTGGTATTGTAACAGAACTGCTATTGTATGGGGTTTTTGTATTGCTGTTAAGTATTGTTTTGTGTGTGTGTGTTGGAACCTACTGGGGACATGTTATATTTTGAAGTGATTAAACTATTTAATTGTGTGTCTATATTTTGGAATGGAATTATTTCTTCATTAAAAAGATTTTTAAAAGGAATTTATGGAGCATCATGTTTGTGGCTTATTTTGGTTTCGGGTGTCGTGTCCCATGGAGCCCAAACCCGGTTTTTTCAGTAGGGAAGGAAAGTGTATCCCTGTGGTGCAGCAAGTAGTCTTTGTCTCCTTTACCGCTTTACAAGAGAACTCCTTCCAACACCTTCCACAGCACTTTGAGCTTGGCACCAAGCAGCCCCTGCTTTCAGTGGCCCAAGCAGTTTCCTCTTTCTTCCTTTCTTAATTCTCCGTATCTTTAGCAGTTTCACAACCTGAAAATGAAGTTCCCCATTTGTAAAATACCTGCCCTGTATCCACTTAACAGCAATGAAAACGAGCATGAGCAGAAAACATCGGGGCCTGACAAGGTGCCTGTTACAAACTTAGAAGGTGGTACATGATTCTCAGGAACCTAAACTATCTGCAGCAGTGTAATTCTTTTCTTAACCATTGTGTTCCTCTGGCCTTAGAAGGAACAAAACGTTGGAACAGGCGTGTTTGAATGGCTTTACCATACACAGTCACACGTGCTTCTGTTACAGATGAATACGAAACCTGTTTTTCCAATTACACTTTTAAGATGTCTTTCCTTATAGTTGTTGGTAATTGCAACTGGTTGCTAACCTAAAAGAGTGTGGAGTTGCAAAGCAAGAGCTGGCACTTACAGCAGCAAATTTGTGTTCTGATGCAGTGCTTGGAGCTACTTCATTGGGACATGGCAACATCTGGAGTGCCCAGTGGTGCAGCTGGGTATGGTGGCAGCCCTTCCCAGCAGATGTTCTGCAGCTGCTGTCCCAGAGTGTGTCCCTGACATCCAAAAAATCCCCAGCTGTGCACACAGTATTGTTAGTTGGCCAGTGATTTACACCAGGGAGGGGTCTGTTAGATGGAAAGCAGTAGCAGCACACCAAAAATACTCTCTATCTGCTTAGCAGATACCCCAGTGTGCTGGGAAGCAGATAAAGCCCAGTCTGCTGCCTCCTTCAGCACTGACTGCTGTGGTAACCTATAAATCACCAGGACTTATTTGCCCTAATTCCCCTGTCTACATGTTGATGTTCTTCAATAAAGATGATCATTTTACACTGTAAATTGTTTTCCAGATCTGCTGAACTTTCCAAATTCACATCCACAAGATTGTAATGTATGATGACATATCATCAGCTCATGTGGATAACTGTTTTATCCATGCGTAATCCCAAATTGCTGTGTTGCTTCCTAACCCACAATCAAGTCTATGGCCCCTGGGGAACAAAGGAACCAGTGAAAACTAATTTATAGGCAAGGGCTGCTTTTCTCTTTGCTCTTGGTTACTCTAACTGCTCTTTGCAAGGAGAAAAGACTCATACAGGACGAAATAAATCAGTTTTATTTACAAAAGGAAATAAAATATAAAATATAAAAAGTAAATAAAAATTAAATTAAATTAACATGAAATTCACATAAAATAAAATAAAGAAATAAAATGTTGTTTTTAGATCTGGATAGTTGGCTTCTTGGCTGCATCAGCACTGAACTAGGGGAATAAAAGCGTCTGGAATTTTCTGAAAGCACCTGGGAGTTTCATTCAGCAGCACACAGTTCTATGGCTGCTCTTCCAAAATTTGCTTAGGCCTGTTGCTCAGCAGTTGTGTATTCTGCTGCAAGCAGAGCTTAAATCTGGGTGAAACTTTTAAGACACTATTTCAGGAATATGAAGCTGGGTTTATCAGAGAAATACAATATGTTGGGTAGGAAGGAAAATCTCTATTGTTCCACAAAGAAAAAAGGTATTGAAGAATTTCATATGCTTCAGGATCATCCTGTCTAATATCCCAGTTTATCCGCAGATTAAGGATTCCCATTTGCTTTCTCCTGAATCACTGCCACCAGCTGAGTTGCCTGTGCATTAGGACAGCTATCCCAAGCTGCCAGCAGTGCACCACCAAGCCTTTGGCTGCAAAAGGCAGAGCAGCAGAATTAGGAGACACTTCTCCCAGCCTTCCCATTCCTCATGAAACAGGTCCCAAACTGGAATACGTTTTTCTAAGGACCCAAAACTCTGGGGCTTTCTAAAAAAGCTGCTTTGGGCTAGCAAGCTCCTAGGACAAGGCTGAGGGATGTGAACAGGGGAGGAGGGGAATTGTGCAGCCACATCATGCAAAGATGGTTAATGCATAACATAAGGTGGTTAATGCAGCTTGGAGATAATAAAGACCAAAGAGATAGGTGATGTGAAAGAGCAGTTACTTTTGTGTAGGCAATGAAGGAGGAGGCCATGGTGCATTTTGTCATTGGTATGTGATGCTGCAGAATGTAGTTTGCTATTTAATGCAAGATAATTTACTACTAGCAAATTAATTTCCTCATGGCTTGCGTTTTTTACATAACACTCAGCAGTGACCAGATGGCAGATGTGTCAGGCCAGCTGCTTGTTATGCTAATTGTCAGCTGTAAAGGCTGCCCAGTTAACACTTCTCCCCTGCTAGCTGCAGCCCAGCATTGCTGCTGGACCCCAACATTGCCTGCAGCAGGCAAACTCATTCAGAGAAGAGGCACCCTCCATGCTCATGTTTTGACTGATTTTCTTGTTACTGCTCAGTTCAGTTTTGGTCCCTCCTGATACATTCCTGTCAAAAAAAAAAAAAAAGTCACACTTCTCCTTATGTTTTTGGTGTTGCTATTCAGCACCTCCTCATGGAGCAGGGGCTGCTGCTCACCTGGGAAGGAACTTTCTCACTGCTGCCTTCCTGTCCCACTTCCCATGGGAGCTGCTATGGGGCCCAGACTATGTTTTTTCCTGGATGTGATCCCTTGTTCAGGTCAAAAAAATTCCTTTTGGACATCAAAACCTTTTCCTGGTTTCACCAAACAACCAAATGTGTCTGTACTCCTGTGATCCACATTGTTGCCTCCCCTACTGCACCTCTCAAAACATGAAAACATGTTCATAGAACAGTGGGGCCTAGTCCAGTAACACTCCTTTTTTCTTCTGCTTATTTTGCTTTATTGTATATTCAGGCTTCTGGCAGTAGACTAAAATCCCCCATTTTGCACCTACACTGTTGCTATGAGTAGGAATCAGGTGCTTAACAGGTCTCTGCACTTCTTTAGCATCTGCCTTCATGTGAAAAAGCAAGATTGCATGCTCTGTAAGAAGCACTTCCATCATCATATTCATTATGTAGGTGCAATTAAACTTAGAAATCCCCCCCAAGAGACCTCAGCTCTGACAAGCAACCCTATTGTCCTCTCCACAAAGTAGAAAAGTTCTATTTTAGTCCTTTCACATGGCACTGCATGCTGTCTGGAGTGTTTTCCATTTGCTACCTCTAATAGCTGCACCCTGGCTCTCAGCTCATTTGCCCAGGGACCCTCACAGCCCCCAGCCCCCAGCAGATGAGGGGGCTCAAACACTGTTTGTTTCAGCTGAAAGGCTGATACTGAAGTTAGTGCAGATGGCAATTAGTACTTGAGGGAGTGCTGTTTCCAGGGAATCCTCTCTCTCATCACTCGCTCTGAGTCACGCGCTTAGTGGAGGACACTTCACCAGAAACATGTTTTCTGCTACTTTTGGATCTAAGCTCCCACAAATTAATTAATTGAGTTCATGTATAAATGCAAGAAGGAGGGATGCAGAACCCTTTTGTAAGGTTGCACTCATGAGAGATCTATGCAGACAGACACCTGTTCACCAATTAAAAACTGGGTTTATAGGGGCTATACAAAGTCTGCACAGCTCTAGTATTGATTGTTTGTCTGGCAAAGTGATAATCAACAGAAAAATTAACTGGGTTTGACTGCAAGTTGGGATTGCCGAGGCTGATGGTGCCCGGAAGCAGAAAAATTAAACTGTTTTATGTTTAGCTGGGGATGCCTCACTTAACCCAACGGGAGCAAACCCAGAGGACTAAAACCAAATGAAATCACTGGTTGAGTGGCTGTTCAGTGGCCAGCTACTGCTTTCCTTGGGAAGCAATTCATTATCCCCCTTACATTTTGCACTGCTGGGAGTGAAACATCTCATCTGCTCAGCCAACACTGCCAAGTGGCAGGTGGTTTTCCTGCCACAAGGACACAGCGGGCTCCGTCCTGCCATGGCTGGGCCATTAGGTACAGCTGAGGTACAGCAGGCAGAAATTTGCCCTAATAGCTCTCTTGAGCTGATAGGAGGACTGCATCTGGTCAGCCCTTTACTGAAATGTGATGAAAAGCCATGGAGGGTTTTCTTGGCAGCTGAAACCTTTTCCAAGATGGAAATAACATTCATGTCTTTAGCCATCTAACAGATGAGACAGAAAAACTGGTGGCCTTGTCCAGAAAGTACGAGCCAGCCTAATTCTGGGGTGAGGTTTCCTACCAAGCTGTGTGCTAATTCAGAAAGCAAGAACACTTGTGTCAGATCCTTCCCCTTTCCTTTGCTATACATCATCTGTACTCATATCTATGGTATTTGTTGTCTCAACTCTGAATACAGAACTTGGCCAACACATTAAAAAAAACAGGGAAAGGCAAGGCTTGAGTTTTGTCAAGTATCTGCATCATGCTCTGTTGCCTAGGTAGCTACATCTAACATTCAGGGACTTGTTTCTAGGAATTATGAGCTTGAGAGAAAAACAAGCACTTTTAAGGATGCAGAAGAGGACTCGAGTTTGGTTTGCTGTATTTACTTTGTTGTGCTCATTTAGACATTCATGGTCTGATGATGACCTAGAAACAGAGATCCCCTGTGGAAGTGTTTGCCTTGGTGTCCCCAGGCAGTTCTGTGTGCCCAGCCCTGTGCAATCCCTGGCACGGACACACACATGCGCACACACCCCAAGGAGACTGCTCTTGTGTGGAGAAAAGTGACATTCCATATCACTCAGGGTGAGGCAGATGTTGGAAGAGGTTATGCATGGATCGTGTTGCTCTCATCTTCACTGTGCAAGAGGATGAACAGCCCCCAGCAGGTAAAGGTGAGAGCTGCACTGCCTGTGTCCTCATGCCAGTGCTGCTGGCCATTCCCTGCCAGACCTGGTACCC